ACGGCTTGGGGGTCCATTTAAAAAAATACAAAATTGGTCAAGGAATAAATAATTTAGATCCCGAAAAATTTTTTTTCGGGATCTAAATTATTTATTCCTTGGCCAATTTTGTATTCCTCGAACAAGTAGGTACAGTATGCCATCAGCAAAGCAACAACTCTCTAATATAAAACACGGCGGTGGTATGAGACCCAACGTATGAGTACTGACTTTTGCCCCCCCTGTATATATATATATATATATATATATATTAATATATTATATATATCGTCTCGCTTTATATATAGTAAGATTTGACATCTGTATTATCTACAAAAGTAATGACTTAAAAGGATTAAATGTCTAAAATGGGAAACACAGGGTGTGGGTGGTCCACATAATATTGGAATGTTCGTGAACCTCACATGAACCAGCTCGTGTATATTACTACAATGAACAATCTTGGAAAATAAATTTGTATACCCCATAGGTACTTTTCTATCAAATATAACTTAGAATTGATCGTTTCTTCAGTATTTCAATAGCTTATATCAGTAAATATGGCCACGTATCGGTGATAGGACCACTGATACAGGGGGGGGGGGGGGTGCAATGTCAATATGGGCACAGACTTGCCCCCCCCCCCTGTAGGTATGACGAAGATCTGTTAAATTCGACTCATATAATTTTGGCACTGTGGAACATGCTAACAATTTTAAAATTAATTTGACTTCGGGATATACAGAAGACCTACATCATTGAACAGATTAAACGATTCAAAAGTCATGGTCAGACAATGAACAATGGATAAACGGAATATACTGTTATACTCAGATCAAAATACATGTAACATGTTTGTTAAAGACAGATGGTTCTCTATAATTTCACTAAAATAACGAAATTCTATATTTAACGGAAGATAGTGGACCTCTCGAACAATGTGGTATGAGATCAGTAACGTTCGCGTCCTCTAAAATGAAACTTGTACGAAGCTCATATCTCATATTCTGATATTATCATTATCTCATATTATTATTAGATAAGTATCGTCCACTTCTAGGATTGTTCATGACGCCGTCAACATAATTGTGGAAGTTCACGAAGGTGGACACTATATTCGGCGAAATCGCCTTGTTTTAAGTGTCCAATAATATTATATATCGCAATATGGACAGATTACCAAACTGCCACGAAGAAAACGTATTCGACTTCAAATTTTAATTAGAACCACGTCACAAAAGTTACTCTGAAATAGAGCTTGAAAGAATTAAATTTCAATACAACCATTAAGGAAAGGCAGAATTAACGTAGCAGGCCAAAACATTGGCCGTCAGCCATATTATTACGGTGTTATGGTCTGTATTTATCACCTCCAACATTTGGGTTAGGATTATATTTCAGATTAGTGAGTTAGTACACGGCCGATCTTGCGTGTGCAGACTGCAGGGACGTAAAATTATTGAACTCAAAGCTTTAAAGAACATTAATAATAATCAAAGGGAGTGACTGAAAGCATGTTTATAATATAACAGCGAGTGGTAAATATTGTATGTTATATATTGTATATAATACAATAATAAATATTGTATTTATTATTTAATACAGACTTCTTATAACATTAACATGGAAGCTTAGGAAGTTTATCAAGATCAGACTGTTCACAGCACTACTCACTAGTCGAGTCGGTGCTTTTGTACGGTTCCGAGACTTGGACTATGACGAAAGGGCTAGAGAAGATGGTTGATGGTTGCTATACGCGAATGTTAAGCTAATGGCTCTTAACATCAATCAATATCGAGACCATGTCAGCAACCACAGCCTGTACGGTGATCTACCAAAAGTCAGCTCCAAGATAACCCAACGAAGACTCAGACTTGCAGGTCATGCTCACCGACATCCGGAGCCGACACTTAACAAACTGATCCTCTGGAAGCCGAGTCATGGGCATACTAACAGGGGGCGACCTTACTTAACACTATACTAGATAACCTAAAAGTGCAGATACTGGGCTGAAGTCAGTAGATGAGATAGCTAGACTGATGGAGGACAGAAGCTTTGGAGAACTGTTGTCAATGGATCTCGGGAACACTACCCACCTTAAGTCAAGTAATTCAAGTCAGTATAATATGATATAAGAGCTTCTTTCAGCGACCTAACGTCCTTTTTATAATTCATATTCATTAATTCGCCGTTATAAATGATAAAGTACTTTTTATAATTCAGTTATTCTTGTAAAGTAATCGCTTTTAACACAAAAAAGCTAACGACCGAGGATATTTTGGCTCTTCAGCTCAGGCTAAGTGATCGATTTACAAATTTTGCACTATGAGAAAACCATTCTGCTGATTAGTATAGAAAATCGATTTTTTTTCACGACAGTTAGATTTATCACAGCTTCCAATGCTTCACAGCTTGGTATTAGGGGTCGTTCACATATTACGTAATCACTTTTTGGACAATTTTTACCCCCCCCCCCCCCCCCCCGTCCGTAATCAGTTTTACACATAGCTATTATGTCAAAATTACAGTAGCGTAATCATTTGGAAATCCCCTCCCCCCTCGGCTGATTATGTAATAAGTGAACGTCCCCATATTACCAATTAGCTGCGCAAAGATCTAAATCTTGATAGAAACCTAATATAAAGTGAACAGATGTTTTCCAGATTTCACAAGATTCACAAATTCAAGTAACAGTTACAAACACGACACGATAAGATGATGTAATTTTAAAACTCAGACGAAGCAAACGACTCACGACAAAAATTCAGATTTTACATTAGTACAACATGAAAATACATGCAAAATGTTTTATTCGACACGAAGTTCCTAAATTCCATAGTATCTGCTTACCAAAGTGCCAAGCATTATGGAAAGTGTCTCTCTGTAGTACTCCCCATTCGAACTTAGTCAGATCTTAAAAATCCCCCTGATACGCTAAAGTACTAAAGTAAGCTAGTACGTGATTACTGACTCTGTTTGCTTAAAATATAAGCCGTCAAGAGTTATTTCATTCATACATCTCCCAAACATCTTTTAAAAATTAAGTGTTTAAAAACAAAAGAAGTTGAAGTTATTTTTCCAAGAATTCATAGATTTTATCACCTTAGTTTTAATGTCCTCTTGGAAGTTTAATAGTACATGAGACTAATTAAATATACAAAATCCATATGTAAGTATGTAAGATCCACAGTTTAATATAACTTTGTCTTTAGTCATGTTTGCAGCCACCCATGTAACTTAAACTATATAGACAGTTGCATCATACACCAATATTCTAGTCCGTTTTTCGGATTCAGCATAGAAAAATACGTCGATAGATGCAACTTTCATATACTCGGGGGCCTTGTGTAAAACACTTAACAATCCTTGGTTTCGTGGTACCATGTCCAATAACTGAATGAAGAGTGGGTTATTTGATTCACGTTATTACACTAAAACTATATTACTTGGACACTGGACAGTGGTTATATTGGCAATCTCATGGAACTTTCATGAGGTTTTGCTAAAAAGAGTATTATCGAATTGCTAATTAGGGCCGGGACGGTTGGCTGCATCCATCAGTTTCCTCTGTGATGAACATGGAGCTGGTGCATCAATATCTGCTCTTCTGCTGAACTCAGAAACTAATCGTCTTCCTCCGCTTTCAAGGATATCTATCTTCTGAAATAACATCACTTCTAGTACAAAAAGGTACAAAACCAATTACTCGATAACTTATAAAGTATCATCAAACCCCTCCCCTAGTGGATGATGCATTGTCCTAACGACTAGCTAGTAGCTAGTCGTTAGTTTATAAGAGAGTCTATATACTCTAGTCATTAGTCTATGGATATAGATTGCAGTGAACGGTAGTCTGTGAACAGTGTGTGGAACATTCCAGTGAGTCCCCAGATGCGGTAAGGCATGACGTTACCATGTTGACGTAACCATGACGTAACCATGGTAAAAGTAACCATGTTGACGTAACCATGGTGAAGTAACTATTTTAACGTATTACGTAACATTACAATTCACTTAGTGTGTTATTTGAAGTCGAATAATGACCATCGGCAATTGAATTCTCTGGTTAAATTAGAATATATTTTATTAAAGACAATGAGCATTGGAATTACATGAGGAGTGCAGGATCAGGATTCCTTTGTTATAGTAAAGCTGTACTATAGGTTCTTATTTGTGAAATATTGGGCAATAGTTTTAATATGAATTGAATTCCTTGATAATGTAGAATATACTCACAGTAATTTTGAATAACAACAATGGTGGTTGCACGTGAGTCTGTTGTTATAGTAACACTAACTGCACTCTACAATCTCGTTAATGGAATGTGGAGAATTAAATAAACGCGATCATAATAATGCAATTTAATTAAAGTTTTGAATGAACGGAATTTAGAATTATAGTCATCAGTGCACTGCAGGAATCTAACGTTAGATTTTTAATTAACTTAAGTTTTAAGGTACCATAATAAAGGGCTAAATATAGGTCTAAATGTAGAGCTAAAGATAGGATTGAAACGCTAAATAATAAATATAGCCGCTGTATTCTTTACTTAAGATAGGATTAAAACGCTAAATAATAAATATAGCTGCTGTATTCTTTATTTAAAATAACATGCCGAGCAGCGTATTAAAATATACCACATGTTACTTAAACGGCACTTTAGCCATTACTGTTGACGGCTCATGACCAGAAGATGACTGATGAGGTCTTGTTGATCGACCAGATCACGATGAAGAAATCCCAAGTCATTACCTGGACATATGTTAACGTACCGTTCTCCTTTCACGCCAGCACAAGGTCGGAAGAGTGATCTTGATTTCTCGAATGAGTGTTGACAGGAGAACATGTGTCCCGAACAGTTTCGTGACGAGGCGTACAGTTTACATGACCTCCCCTGATAATGGCGTTCCCGTGATTAAAACGTTTGTTGAAGGCTGATGGACACCTGGGGCATCTCTTTATAAGCTGGTGGTTAGGAAAAAATCTTCAGTTGAGAGTGTTTTCATTGTCCTTATTAAACTTCCACAAAACATTAATTGAGTTAAAGTCAACGATGACTTGGTTTGCGCTTACTTTGGCAACTAGCTTTGTCTTTACGATAGGGGCGTTTCGATGTCAGTACGAAGAAGACCTTGATGCCACAACTAACAAGACGGAACTTCTCATAAAGCCACAGAAAAGTTTGGACGGTAAATTCCTATGGGTCACGAGTATGAACATTTTCTTTTTTGGAAACATTGAGAGAAAGTTCAACGCCAAGCTCCAAGCTGGGTTATACGATGATGAGACTGGAGCTTTGGTGTACAAAGTCATCATCAACTGCCAGGACGGGGGGACTTGGAAGACGGTTTACGACAAAAACGGTAACGGAAACTTTAAGAAATGGAAGAAAGGGAAACTAGAAGAAGGGTGCCCAAAGGGAGAATTTGACCTGGTTGCTAGGGTAGGATGTCCTGATCGGCCGGATGAGCAGGAGGAAATAGACCTTCTACCGTGCTCTAAGATGGCTTACTTTGTCTTTAACGGACAAGTTCTTGAAGACAACCTCCAGAAACTTAACCGGTATGGGTCAGAACACATGGAGCCCCTCCCAGTTTTCATCAGACCCGGGAAGCTGGTTAAGGCTCAGGTTTTGAAAGAGGGAGCTACGTTTACCCGACAAGCGTACGGAAAATGCTTTGATTTCCCAGCAAAGTTCCACAACAACTGCACAGCGGCACTTTATTGGTTGCGAAGCAGAAGTGATAGCCCCCATGGACTGTCCGACATGGGGCTGTGGAGCATGGGGCACGGTGTAGAGTGTGTCGCCACCGACACGGCAGATCCAGACCACAAGCTATTCAAGACGCTCCAGACAAAGATTGTTCCAGACGGCAGTGCCATTTTCGAAGGTAGAGCGTTCGACACGTGTTGCTGTTCCTATCTGGACGGATATGTGATTACTGAAGAGGGGTCATGTCTCAACAACTTAGATGACGAGAAGAACTGCAACATGAGCCCTCGACCCGGATTTGATGATATGAACGATGAGAGGTGTAACAGATTCAAAGCTTTTTATGCTATTAGGTAAGCAAAGCTTTTACGTGGCATGACATCGGTTGTTAATTTTTGATATTTTGAAATTCAATGTATTTACTGGTTGTACTTGTACTATAATAATGAATTACCAAGAATTTCGCCGCGGTTAAACCACGCACGATCAATTTTCCCTACGATGTACTTGTATACCTTTAATTCTTTTGAGTGAAAGGTGTGACTGGAAAAAATTGCAACATATTTACATACTATGTTATTTATAAATGAATGGGATTCGTGCATGGTAAAAATCGACGATTTATTTGACCAATGTAGCGCCGCACATCAACAATAAATGGATCTAGAAAATTGCAGAAAATAACTTTGCGAAGGAGGAATTTCACTGTAATTAATTAACACATGGCTAGCGTCGCGCGCAGTATAACATACGCTTCCTATACACATAATTATAGGGGAGTGGTCTATATTGCGAAGGAGCAGACTTTTGTCATCACTGCAGGTCCATCGGGCCACCTCATATATCCAAACCCGACTACTCATTCCCTACGATCTTTTTGCCTTCGGCAAGAGTAGGGAAAAAAATTCACAAGTTTTATTAATTTTCATATTTTTTTCTTTATTATTGATAGCAGCCCTTGCTATGTTTGTGACGTGTTTTTGACGTGTTTGTGACGTGTTGGTTACGTATTTATGACGTGTTGGTTACGTGTTTGTGACGTGTTTGTGACGTGTTGGTAACGTGTTAGTGACGTGTTTGTGACGTGTTGGTTACGTGTTTGTGACGTGTTTGTTACGTGTTGGTAACGTGTAGGTGACGTGTTGGTTACGTTTTGATTACGTTTTGGTTACGTGTTTGTGACGTGTTGGTGACGTGTTGGTTACGTGTTTGTGACGTGTTTGTGAAGTTTTGGTTATGTGTTTGTGACGTGTTGGTGACGTGTTGGTTACGTTTTGGTTACGTGTTTGTGACGTGTTGGTTACGTGTTTGTGACGTGTTTGTGACGTGTTTGTGACGTGTTTGTGACGTGTTGGTTATGGGTCTGTGACGTGTTTGTGACGTGTTTGTGACGTGTTTATGACGTGTTTGTGACGTGTTGGTTACGTGTTTATGACGTGTTGGTTACGTGTTTGTTACGTGTTTGTGACGTGTTGGTTACGTGTTTGTGACGTGTTTGTGACGTGTTGGTAACGTGTTAGTGACGTGTTTGTGACGTGTTGGTTACGTGTTTGTGACGTGTTTGTTACGTGTTGGTAACGTGTTGGTGACGTGTTGGTTACGTTTTGGTTACGTTTTGGTTACGTGTTTGTGACGTGTTGGTGACGTGTTGGTTACGTGTTGGTTACGTGTTTGTGACGTGTCTGTGAAGTTTTGGTTACGTGTTTGTGACGTGTTGGTGACGTGTTGGTTACGTTTTGGTTACGTGTTTGTGACGTGTTGGTTACGTGTTTGTGACGTGTTTGTGACGTGTTTGTAACGTGTTTGTGACATGTTTGTGACGTGTTTGTGACGTGTTGGTTACGGGTCTGTGACGTGTTTGTGACGTGTTTGTGACGTGTTTGTGACGTGTTAGTTACGTGTTTGTGACGTGTTTGTGACGTGTTAGTTACGTGTTTGTGACGTGTTTGTGACGTGTTGGTTACGTGTTTGTGACGTGTTAGTTACGTGTTTGTGACGTGTTTGTGACGTGTTGGCAACGTGTTGGTTACGTGTTTGTCTCAGACCCTCTTACACAATCTGAAGATTTTGTCGCGATTTTAATACACACAAATGGAACTCCGTGAACCATAAACTAATTCTTATGTGACCTCCCATGAACTCCATTTTGCGTTTAGGTCCTATTAAAATACGGGAATAATTCTTTCTTTTTTTCTTTGTAGAAAAACCTTTTGCTTCGAATTATAAAGTTGTTGGCATAGATGACGACATTTTAATTGCATAAAGTAAATTGGGCTAAAGTAGTGGATGACCTTGCTGTACGGCAAGTTAAACAAGGATCTGAAACTGCTAGGTTCCGTACAGACTCAACTCTGCACCCGTGTCAATATGTTCATTATATGCAAGCCTCTTGATTTATAATATCTGAAATGGTAATTTTACTTTTATGACTCAATGAACTGCTATATGTTGTATGTTAGCTAAAAAACCTTCAACTTGAGTATAAAAAGTAATCAATAATGATTTGATCAAAATTATCAATTATGAAAACGAAAAGAATTGTCAAATGGTGCAAAGAATCAAAATATGATGCATAAATTACTTTAGTTTATTCAGTATTTCTGTTAAGGGTCGATGATTTCAAACTTAAAAATGGGTACAATCAATTATCAATTATCACAAATGTTTAATAATTCTTCTTGGAATAAGAATGATTATATTCTGAGGGTCTCCAGTCTCGTTCAGTTCATTGAGTGTTTTAATGTTAGAATCATGGCCAAGCTCCTCATATTTAAATGAAACGATTGGTCATGATAATTCTCAACGCAAATTAATATTGTTCCAATACGACAGTTCAGTTCTAAAATATCCCTCGAAATAAACATAACGATAAAAAATAAAAGGTCACTCCCATAAATATAATAATCTTAAAAATAAAATCAATTCCGACGACCTCCGACAACGATATCAATCTTCAATTTTCAGCCAAGATATTTGATTAGATTTCTTTTTCTTCGCATTTTAATGTGTCATCTGGGGAATTTAGTAGATAATAAGTTATTTGAATTAGAGTAAAATTTTAGATTAGCAAATAAACACTTATAACTGGCAGGTCTAAATGCAAGGAGATGTAACTAACATCGAACAGCTTAGTAGATTAAAAGTTATTATAGGTTAATAAGTTTAAATTGTTTATTGAGATTGGATATAGATCACAAATTCTAAACACGGATTATGAAAAAGGATACAAAATGGTTAAGCTCAAGAGTACAAAGAACTGAAACTGAAAGCTTAATTCTGAAACTACACTTACCACTCTGGTTTTGGATACGAGTTGTATGGGGACATCTCTTGACTACAAAAGATAGTAGGAGTGTTGATAAGGCTGCCAGTAGAGCAGCAGTGCCCGGTATTACAGACATCGTGTACCTGGTGTAGTGGTTACCATGGTTACCATGGTTACCATGAGTGATGAGCACTAAACTCTTGTAGAATTTGAGGAATTGTACCGGTAAAATGGTAAATTTTATTCGTGGAAGAGTCAAACTGCCGTTTTACAATAACACCGTTTCTCTTTCTTATACCAAAATTATTTGATATCTATACCTGTAGTATTCAGCACCGTTTGACGAGCAGGGTCCCAAATCAGGATTACACTTTTCTGGATGAAAGTGTTGTATCAGAGCTATTAGTATACCACTCGATAGTTTATCCACCAGGGACATTGATCCGTACACAAATGCTGCTGTGTCCTGGTAAAAGTCACGTGATCATAGGAACAGGTATGTAAATAACTGTTGCTGATTGAAGAACGACATGAAAATGGCTTCAGAATTTGCCTCCATGATCTTCTTAAAAGAAGAGGCCCTAAAGGGAATTTTAGGCCATATGCTCGCCAAGTGTAAGAACTCTTATAGTTTTCATAGTTACTTAATGCTGAGAGGTTTCATTAGAGTAATAATCGAAATTTAAGGTTTCTACACCTTAATTCAACGTGCCAAGACTTTGACGACAGGATACTTTGAAGCTTAATATTATATTGGACATTTTTATCTTGATGCTACTAGGTACTATTAAACCCTAAAATACTGTTGAACTTGCGTTTTTAGATTGAAGTGAAGACTGAAAGTGAGGCATTACTTTACAACTTTAACATTGTGGGTAATCTTAATAAGGGGTCTCACCGTGTGACCACCGATAAGATCTGCTGTCATACTGAGAGATAAGATCAACATGATACTGCATCCCACCCCAATACACGCTGTCGCTCCGTAAGTTGGGTTAGGATCATCCTTCGACTGAAACCAGTTTACAGTTCAAACCAATGAAACAGCGATCTTATGACGCATCAGTTCACATAAATCCCAACAACTAAGGCACTGCCGTCTGCGTTGATGACAGGTTGAACACATTAACAACTCACCTGGAAATAGAACCAGAAAGAACTGCCCACGACAAGAGTAGCTCCGCAAATATAAGCCACTCTTTTTCCTGACAACTTTGTCAGAGGTCGTGTCAAGAAGCTCCCGATCACACTACAAATAAGCATTACTAACGGGTAGTAAGCTATACTTTCTTTATTGAGAGATAAGGTGGAGATGAGGTAAAGAGGGAGATAAACTTGGGGTACGTTAATTGCTATCCGAGTAAACATGTACATCAGTCCAACCTGGGGATAAATTTCTTGATATTATTCGGTAGCGGGTAGTGGTAATCAAAAATTTAATATTGTAGAATCTGTTTCATGCTCGTATGCAGACCTTAACTAAGTTCAACTTTTATACTCCACTGGGGTTAAAGCACAGCGCTTCAATGCTCTATCTTTTAGTGGTCACCATTACCATGACAGCCCCCTACCAGAATTTAAACAAAAGGACATCATGAATCAAGAACAGAGAGTTTTTACACCCTCAATTAATTTTAGCGACCGTCCGGCTTCAATCGATATTATTTATTCACTTGAACTCTATACTTCTATATAATCGCAAAGCAGTATTGATTATAATCATTTGGTCAGCTTACCAGATAAAATCGCTTCAACTCCAACCAATTTTTTATTGTAAACTGTTCTTGCTCGGTTTCAATTTTGACGTCCGTGAGGCCAACTTCGATTTGATCCCCTACTAGTGCTTGAGACTTTTCCAGCTCGACGTATTCACTCGACTCGCTAACCAAGACGTGAAAGACTAAGGAAAATAGTAAACCCACACCAATCACTATCATGCTTAGGTACTGAAAATAAATAATGGTTAGTCCAGACTCCAGTCATCAAGGAAAAATTGTAAATCAAGAATTTACAAATCTTAGATCCTGATTACCATTACATTGTGTAATGTGTAATGAAGGATGAAAAAAACGACAGAATGGAGAAAAAATGGAGTGACGAACAACGAACAAAAATTAACAAACCGAAAAAGCTCTTTCATCTCCAGGACCCAGAGCATCCACCTTAGATCCAGCTAAGTGCAGTAGAAGCCCCATTAGTAGATACACTACTATTCCACAAACGAATGTAAGACCTGAGCTACAGTTAAAAATCAGTGAGGTACTGGAATAAAACAGATCCTAAAGATCGTTGAAGATAACTAGTAGACTAAAATGATCGGTTAGGTTAGTCGCTTTAAATCGTGAAGATAGTCAAGGTAAACCTTCCGTAATAGTGAATCTAAATTTGAATTGACACGATTAATGTATGCTGTAGTGGAATATGTACACTAACCGGATGGAATTAAGGAACACAATTTTCTTCTTACAAACTGTTAGTACAGGAATTAGGGACAGGTGTGAGATCTGTGTACTCGCCCATCCGATTTGGAACAGAACTATAAAAGCTCTGCGGAGATAGACAATAATGTTACTGTTGTATTCTTTTAGTTGTATGGTCAAACTTGAATTTAATTTTTAAGGATCTGAATTTTAATTATCTTTTAGCAGGAAGGGGTAAGGTCAAGTGATCATTAAATATTTAAATGTAATCACCCGTAATAGAGCTGTTGTATCTGGGAAGAGCTTTCTTCACAACCAAAGCATTTGTGGAACATAAAAGCGAAGGATATGATAACAGTAAAGGTTCCTAGAGCGTGCCACGTCTTACGTTTTCCATATCTTTCAATACCGAACTTATCCATAGTAATACCAACCAAGGGCGTGACCAGACCGTCTGCAACCTGATGAAAATAAATTCCATAGATTAAGTTATGTTTACATCATCTATAGATTTTCCATCAGTGCAAGGCTGGCCGCAAATTCCAATCATCGAAGAATATTCATATATATCAACATTGCTTAAAGTTTTAAAAATCTACGTACTGGAACCGAAACAAAATTGTTATCGGCTGGCATACCTGTCCAACTAGCATGAGAATCCCAGCAAAACTTTCCGATTGTTGCTTGACTTCTGTCAGGTAGATTATAAGATATGTGAACCAGCATGCTGAGCAGAGATCGTTCAAAATGTGACCAGCTGAATATCTGTGATGAAACATTGAGAATTTGAAAATATGGCCAGAGTTTAAGAGGTGATTGGAGGGCGGAGATTTAATTGTATGTCTTGTATCCACAACTCTGAAGAATATCAATCGCATATTTAGCATATCTTGAAATACTCACCCAAACGTTTGAGTGGCTGTAATTTGTTTCCTTGCGTAGGAAACAGTTCTTCTCAGCTGCTTCGGGGACGATGGGGCTGGGAGTGCTTCTCGTGGGGCCATGAGTTTAACTACATGTAGTTAAACTGTAGTATACAATCAACTGAATAACGATGTTAACAAATGTGAAAACAGTTTCACTTCAAATTGACAAAAAAGTTAATAAAGACAATATAAAGTGTCAGATTCTGAACTATATATGGATACTTCTCAAACTAATACTATGGATCATATTCATACTTTGTTCGTAAAACTAGGAGCTAGGTTACAACTGTCGTTTTGAAATCTGACATGACGAACAGATCATTATCAGAAAGTAGTTATAATATAATACTACTAGTGTTACCCGTGCCTTCGGGTTACGGGTTACGGGTTACGCGGGTTTTTATAACAATACTAATATGTAATGGATACTTCTCGAACTATTGATCAAACTTGATATTTTCCTTTCGACTCAATGTCAGATTCTGAGCGTGACTTTATGATTCACCTCACATTTTGAGAAAGTCGTAGGGATCATCGTTTAAGTTTAACTATATATGGATACTTCTCAAACTAATACTATTGATCATACTTTGTTCGTAAAACTAGGAGCTAGGTTACAACTGTCGTTTTGAAATCTGACATGACGAATCAGGTCATTATCAGAAACTCCAATTATTTTCTAGTTATAATATAGTATTACTAGTACTAGTGCTTTAGTGTAACCCGTGCCTATTCGGCCGGGATTTCACTATTGCAGTTGAATTGCAAAAGTATAAAATTAAATGGTGCAAAAGCATGAACTCGCCCAGTCGAAACCAGCTGCATTATATAGGCTATATATATTAAATTCTGAGCGCCCAACACGTATCCAATAGTAATACTTAATAGGCAATATTGCAGCTTCTACGTCTACTGCCAAATTACCTAATTATATACCAGAGCTGTAATTAGAGAATTTAGGGGAGCTGTAAATAGTGTGAGGGAGAGAGTGTGAGAAAATGTGAGACACTTTACTTTTAGTACCACGTTTGGAGCACTAAACCATTAATTAAACCACTTACCGCCGGCCGATTTAGAAAAGCTTTGCTTATCGGCTTCGCCATAGTTTTGTCTAAACTGTATCGAAAAAACCAGTCCCATAACTCTTACTGTTTTCTTAATTAATCCGCTCGGAAATTACAATACCCACAGACAGACACACACACACATTTTGGGATTATTAGTATAGATTAGAAGCAACTAAAGTATAATAAATTGATAAACTTTAACCTTTATTTAACAGTATCAAGTGGCCTGGTGATAGGAAATACTCACAAGGCAAGCAAACAAACTATACTAGTACTGGGCTACAAGCATTCTTCAAGTAAGCTTCAACAATAGCATACAATCGAACTCCGATGAAAGTCTATACAGATCACAATGAGAGAGACTATAATTCTCTAGCCATGCGCAACCGCTTACACGCACGTATTTAATACACAATTCGGCACAGTCGAGCAAGAAAATTACACTGCATGTAACAGTTGATGAGCAGATAATGTCTTTAAATGTGACTGCTCCTTTATAAATTCATCAGTATTGGCTCAGAACTGTACCAATATTTCGCAAACACCCCGATGAACATTTTGAACACACTTCAAATGTCGAACTGTAACTCACAACTGCAGAGAATGTCAAAATTGTTCTTAGTGTTGAAGTCTGAACATGGAATCCGGAATATTTTGTATTTGATGCGTGTGTCTATTTGCAGTAACATTTACATCACGTACGCGTGTCGTTTCAAGCTACAGAAATTGCCAAAATATAAGCGATGCCTTACTCCTGACTAAACTCTTAGATTTAGAAGTATAACTATACAACCCAGTATCCACGTACCAACAGTCACATTATAAACTTCGTATGTATTCCCTCATCACTATTCATAGAGCTCACTGTGTGTTTGTAATACATCACTAGTAATTAGGTAATTGGATGTCACTGCCTAATCTTTTGATACAGATAGAACTGCAGAATACAGTTGTACTACTAGTATTATATAGTAGCAGTAGTATAAACATAATAATTATATTATATGATGTAGAGGAGTTAACAAATAAACAAATAGCATGTGCTCTACATTAGCTGCTAGTATCTTGTACGTGTTTCCAGTTCGTCATTGAAAGGCTTCTGAAGCAAAATGCAGCAATTTCTCAATTTGGCAATTGACTCAGATACAGTTGTCTCCAAGCTAGCTAGCTAAACAGAATTTCAGGGCAAATTGTAGTTTTTTTTAACTGAAACTATTTGATGTCTTTAAAATAAAACTTTCACCTGAATTTATTTTATGCACCTTTGTATCCATGCCCTAATTTTTAATCGAATGCATGGCAAATGCCCTATTTTTGCACTTTTTCGGATAAAGTCATTTCCAGATCATTTTAACTTCTCGATATGGAATGAAATATCCAAGTTCAAATTTATATGTAGATAGTACAGATCATATCAAAAAAATGTAGTACGTGTTTATGCGGAAATAATACAAATTCTTCCTCTGCAGGACATACTTGTCAAGGGAAAATTGTTACATGTTAGTGCAACTCACAACGAACTATCAAAGAAACATCAAAAGTCAAAATACTGGCAGCGAAATAGAAACCCTTTAAAAGACAGTATTGTTACTATTATATGTATCAGTGTGTGTGTCAGATAAGCGAGGGTAATTAGCCCTGAGCAGATCAGCAGACAAATACAATTTGATCGGTACCTGTTATACTGAACTTGTTATAATTCCATAATGAATTATGAATGATGAATGGTTGATCATTACGAATGAATGTCCCCCATTTTCAGGCCCCAAGTGTGATCTAAATCTTGACCGGGCAATAATTTGATATTACGGATACGACGGTAATTTGTTAATTTTATCCTTGATTTACAAGTTAGACTGGTTGCAGAATTGGGAGTCAGGCGTCAATTTGAAAAGTCTATTCTATTTTTAGCTCAGTACCTTCCTAATTTAAGGTCCCATACACTAAATCTGTCCAGCACAAATGCACCTCACAGAAAGTTCAGTGACCATCTTGTGACGACACCAAACCCTGTTTTGGTGTATGGGTCCTTGATAATAACGAGACCTATGTTAGGGGTCGTTCACATATTACGTAATCAGCCGAGGGGGGGGGGGGGGTTCCCAAATGCTTGAAGTTGATTACGGGGGCAGGGGGGTTTTGGTCGTTGATTATGTAATCAAAATTTTATTTTTTATCCTCTAGAATAATAACAATTTGACAATATTTTAATTCAAATTCCACTCAATTTCATTAAATTTGGAAATTGATCGAATATCCGGCTATAATTATAGTATTAGTAAGTAGTTTAGAAGGTGCTTGGCCGGATATCATAACAATGATTTCGGCTTATCGTGATAGCATGATCAGGGTAGCATGAAACGTAGAGAAAAGTGTTTTCTATGGAAAAAAAATCAAAGGGGGGGGGGGGGGGGGGGGTCGGGTCTCTCGATTACAATTTATTACGGACTGGGGGAGGGGGTTTGGGGGGGGGGGGGGGGTCGGGGTCGGGTCTTGATTACAATTGATTACGGAGGGGCTCGGGGTAAAATTGCTAGAATATTGATTACGTAATCTGTGAACGACTCCTTATAGCTTTATAGGTATGTCACCTCAAATTTTGAAATTTGTTAGTTCGTGACCAATTTTAGCCGGTTTGAGATTATTATAACAGTCTATATTGAAAGTTTACTAAAAATAAACCCCCTTGACAAAGAGCTCGACAGACTAAGGTGTAAATGTATACAAGTTAAATCTAACACTTGATTAATTTCAGACTCAAATATGCGGGATATTTCCTCTAATAAAAGGATCTGAAGACATTGATGTGCCGGAAGATTAGTGATAATTGAGGGAGACATGATCACACTGTTATCACTCTTCTGATCATCAAAATCTAATTTCAGTGCAGATTATGTACTGGGTCGGTTAGAATAATCCATGAACTAGCTAATCAAATTTTGGGCGTTAAAAATGTATGGCTCTACCAACTCCCTTGCAAAAATGACAGTCACGGAAAAATCCTTTCAATTATGATAAGCCACCACGCAACTAAAATCCGTGTCAATCATGTGAAATGATTATTATGACTAGTAGTATAATTCTTGACACCTTGAATTCATGGAAATAATTGGAATTCATTCTTTAAAGTTCAGATATTCGCCTGTTACTCTCTTAATGGGGAAACTACTTAAAATTAAAACGTGATATGATTCGCCGTTAAGTCTCATCCTCAGCTTTCCTGACCGACACGACACGCTGTCTTTATACATGATATATATCATGTAGTTCAGTCTTGTCAATGTGACACAAATTTATTCAGACTGAAAATTTGTCAAAAGTGGGCAAATAAAACGACCGGTTAGAGTCAATCTGAAATTAAAACCTGTTCCAAATACAGACACAGTGTTATATTCTATATTTACAACAAAAATTATTCGATTATCAAATTATCAAATCGACTGAACAGTCATTCACAAAATATCTTAAATACGAAAAAAGCGTGCTTAAAAGTTTACCCTCGACGGTCGACAGATCGAGCTGAAAACATAAAACTGATAGTCCGGGTCATGTGGGTCGTTTTTATATGCCTCATAAGAAATCTTTGGAGTTTAGCAGCAAAACGTTGGAACGGAAAAGATAATTAACCCAACCACTATAAAACTTGCGTTGTTTTTAACAAATATTAACCAAACTATTGGCATTGCTATCGAGGTTATTTTTGCTGCCAGAAAACTGATATGATATACAGCTGTATATAATAAGCTGTCTGTAAAAACGAGAAACTGTTGTGTTCTTTGCGATTAGGTGACTTAATCAAATGAACATTGAAAAACAACATTAAATAATCAGTCCCTATAAATGATAAATCAATCGTATATATACAAATTAAAACTGTTTTGATCGAGACAGTTGAAAAGTTATTCCCGGCGCGGTGGCGGCCTCTTCTCTCTCTTCTCTCTCTTCTCCTTTTCTCTTAATCTTCTTTACTAGGTTCTATACCTCCACCCTCCTCTACCTCCCTAGCTGCGTTAGATATAACATTATCGTTATTACCTCCCTGTTCTTCAACTGAAATTGTAATTATTTTAGTAGTAAAAACATTATTCATGTAAATCATTGAAAAGATGATGACTTCTCCTGACACTATATACTTATATACCACAGATGGAAATCAATAAGATGTTCTTAATAACCTCTCTGAATTTGTCTTTGGTCTGGTTGAGAACCGGGTCTTGAGAATGTCATGGCAGCTAGCACTAAAGTAGCAATAGAGCCAAGTAGTGCAGCACCCCCTGGTATTAGTGACATCGTGTCTCTGAATTGTTACAAAACATATAATGAATTGTTATTTGCTAGTTGTAGGTTGCTATATTTACTTAATAGAAGGAAAACTTGTCGGAGAAAATGAGCGCTATTGATTTTTTAACATTGCCTTAAGGTCCCATAAAACAAGAATGGAGTATGAACTGAAAGTATTACAAAAACAGGTTGTTTGACAAAAAGTACCTGTAATATTGAGCAGTTGGACAATCCACTGGTGTACAATGGTCAGGATGGAAATGCTGTACCATAGCTATTACAATACCGTTAGATATTTTATCAAGCAGAGACATTGAACCGTAGACAAACGCGCCAGTGGCCTGAAGATTAGTGATAACGTCAAGTATTAACGAGGAAATTGATTGAAAATTGTGCAAAACATAAACTTCGTAATCTTATAAAGATAAAATAATTTCAAGATAAAGACTCCTATAGTAGTTACCGTATTAATTCCAATAAGATCAGCAGTCATGCTGAGAGACATGATCAACATAATACTACTTCCTGCACCAATCAGCGCTGTTGCTCCGTATGTTGGACACGCATTAGCTTTCGGCTGGAAACGGGCAAGATTAATTTACTAAAATGAGCTAGTGTCCTTGAATACTATTATTCTTCTTCTCAATTTTTAAAAAGTTCGATAATTAAAAAAATGAAAATACACAAGGAATGTATTATTTTGTTAGTCGGGCGACATCTTAGGTTGTACTGGACCTAACAAGTTTATTGGGGGGGGGGGGGTCCAACTACAAAAAATACGAATACGAATTTCAAATTTTAGGGGTGCGTTCGTATTTATTCGTATTTTTTCGTATTTTTTACCAAAATTTTTTTACTCTAGAAATAACGAAATATCCCAGAGAAATGGATCTATAAATCCATTGGTATTCTCCGTTGTATCTTTGTATATTACACTGTATGACATCAGAGAAGATAAATAAGACGCAGCAAAACTGGTGAACAAATGAAAATACAATACTACGATTACCTACTAATTAATAATTGGAGTTTAGCTGCTTGTCAATCTCACGTAAGCGTAAATGTCAAAATCACTGGGATATTATCACAATTCAGATATTATGATGTATTAATTGTGATTTATAAAGGTCTTTGAATGCTACATCACAGAATATTATTGCCAAATACGCATACTTTTAAAATCTGGTAAGTTGGGTCCCTAAAACGAAATTTAATCAGCTTCGGCTGAACCCATTATATATTATAATATATAGACTATAATATATGGCACATTCATATTAATATTCTATCAGATCTTTCTTTAGATAAACTTATTACACAAAGTAGTCATGGTTATAGTAACAGCTTAAATTCCTTAGGATTAAAAATAGAGAAAAACTTCAAATTCTCTTAGTGATCTTCAAAACTTCTTTTGATAGGTAAAGCTTACCATCTACATCAGGCTTCACCCAAACATGATAGTTCTGATGGGTAGAACAAAAGGAGTTAGTGGGTACACGGCAGACAGACGACCTGTCAGCCTTGCTGAGTATATGCGATGTTGACATGAACAGAGCCTGCCCGCGGAACTTGACAGCTTGCTTGAATTTTTTCTTGTCGAACCAGCCCTTGTCACCAACAGATACACGTTTACAGTCTTTTCCAAGCGATTCACATGGCCGAGAAAGTGACACCCTGGCGATACTGTAGCCTTTGATTCTCCTTTGGCGTGTATGACCTGCCATTGATGACCGACCGTCGTTCATGAACTTCTCAGCAGCAGTATCAACATGGTACCAACGGCCGTCGGTTGTGAGAACTCCAGTTGACTGGTTATAAATCTCCATTTCATCATCATCATCATTGGGAGCCTCAAGCTCAGCCTCTTCCCTGTCATCATCATCAACTAGAGTGTAACAGTCGGGTTCAGTAGGTATATTGAGTTCGCACCCGGACAGCTTTGTGTGAGCACGAATCATATCCTTCCCCATGTCGATGCCTTCCCTGAGTGCTTTCCTAAGTTTCTTGAGGCTGGTGTCTCTGCCCTTGTACACCCGTGTTTGGTTGGGATTGGGAATCAGTGTCTTCCCCCGAGTGTGTGCAACGTCATTCGCAACAAGATGGCTGCCTTTCGCATCAAGCTCAAGGCTCCGATTTTTCCTTGCTGCCCCGTGCACAACCGAAGCACTCGATAGGTTCGTCTGGCGTCCTTTGTGGAAGCCAGTGCGAAGGAAAGCAAACAATTGTTCGCAAGAGTCGGAAACAAAATGCCAGGGAGCAATATCACAGTCCTTGTACTTAGTTGCACATTGGACTAGATAATGAACCATCCCTTCAAGGAGGAGGAGGAGGACTGAGAAGGAAGACGAGGACGAGGAGGACGACTATGAGGAGGACTGAGGACGAGGACTGAGGGGAGGAGAACTGGGGGGATGACTGAGGAGGAGAAGGACTGAAGAGGACTGAGGAGGAGGAGGAGTAAAAGGATGAGGACTAAGGACGAGGAGGACTGAGGACTGATGACGAGAGCGAGGACGAGGAGGAGGACGACTGTTAAGAACTGAGGAGGACTGAGGAAGGAGGAGGAGGACTGGTGAAGGAGGAGAAGGACTGAGGAGGAGGAGGAGGAGGAGGATGAGGAGGACTGGGGAAGGACTGATGAGGAAGAGGTCTGGGGAGGACTGAGGAGGAGGAGGAGGAGGAGGAGGAGGAGGAGGAGGAGGAGGAGGAGCACTGGGGAAGGACTGAGGAGGAGTAGGATGACTGAAGAGTATGAGGAAGAGGAGGACTGAGGAGGAGGAGGACTGAGGAGGAGAAGGAGGAGGGGGAGGAGACTGAGGAGGAGGACTTGGGGAGGACTGAGGAAGGAGGAGGAGGACTGAGGAGGAAGAGGAGGACTGAGGAGGAGGAGGACTGGGGGAGGACTGATGAGGAGGAGGACTGGGGGAAGACTGAGGAGGAGGAAGAGGACTGTGGAGAAGGAAGAGGAGGAGGACTCAGGAGGAGGACTCAGGAGGAGGACTCAGGAGGAGGAGGACTAAGGACGAGAACGACTATGAAGAGGACTGATGAGGAGGAGAAGACGAGGAGGAGGCTGACTGATAGGTAGGAGAAGGAGGAGGACTGGGGAAGGACTGATGGAGGACTGGGGGAGGACTGAGGAGGAGGAGGAGGACTGAGGAGGAAGAGGATGACTGAGGAGTAGGAGGAGGAGGGGGAGGAGACTGAGGGGGAGGACTGGAAGAGGACTGATGAGGAGGAGGAGGACCGAGGAAGGAGGAGGAGGACTGAGAAGGAAGACGAGGACGAGGAGGACGACTATGAGGAGGACTGAGGACGAGGACTGAGGAGGGGGAGGAGAACTGGGGGGATGACTGAGGAGGAGAAGGACTGAGGACGACTGAGGAGGAAGACTGAAGAGGAATAAAAGGATGAGGACTAAGGACGAGGAGGACTGAGGACGAGTGCGAGGACAAGGCCGACTGATAAGAAGGAGAAGGAGGAGGAGGAGGAGGAGGAGGAGGAGGAGGACTGGGGAAGGACTGGGGAAGGACTGAGGAGGAGGTCTGGGGGAGGACTGAGAAGGAGGAGGATGACTGAGGAGGAGGAGGAGGAGGAGGACTGAGGAGGAGGAGGACTGAGGAGGAGAAGGAGGAGGACTGAGGAAGGAGGAGGAGGACTGGGGAAGGAGGAGGAGGACTGAGGAGGAGGAGGAGGAGAAGGAGGAGGATGAGGAGGACTGGGGAAGGACTGATGAGGAAGAGGTCTGGGGAGGACTGAGGAGGAGGAGGAGGAGGAGGAGGAGGAGGACTGGGGAAGGACTGAGGAGGAGGAGGATGAATGAAGAGTATGAGGAAGAGGAGGACTGAGGAGGAGGAGGACTGAGGAGGAGAAGGAGGAGGGGGAGGAGACTGAGGAGGAGGACTTGGGGAGGACTGAGGAAGGAGGAGGAGGACTGAGGAGGAAGAGGAGGACTGAGGAGGAGGAGGACTGGGGGAGGACTGATGAGGAGGAGGACTGGGGGAAGACTGAGGAGGAGGAAGAGGACTGTGGAGAAGGAAGAGGAGGAGGACTCAGGAGGAGGACTCAGGAGGAGGACTCAGGAGGAGGAGGACTAAGGACGAGAACGACTATGAAGAGGACTGATGAGGAGGAGAAGGAAGAGGAGAAGAAGGAGGAGGATGAGGACTGGGGAGGAGGAGGAGGAATCAGGAGGAGGAATACTTAAGAGGAGGAGAAGGAGGACTGATGAGAAGGAGGAGGAGGACTGAGGAGGAGGAGGAGGACTCAGAGGACTGAGGAGGAAGAAGACTTAGGAGGAGAAGACGGCTGAAGGAGGAGGAGGAAGACTCAGGAGGAAGAAGAGTTAGGATGAGGAGGAGGAGGACTGAGGAGGAGGACTCAAGCCAATAATAAGCATGTGTCACGATACAAATGTACTTGACTATACATTTAAGGCGTGCAGTGTACTATAGTGATATTATGGTATGTTTAAAGACCGGACCACAAAATATAACCCGGTACCTAGTGTTGTACTAATACATAATAACAAGTAACAGGGATAAAATCAATGAGCAGAAACAATCGATTTCACAAGAGGCGAAAGCACTCGGGTCTGGGAGTACATGATAACTCCAACTAGTAGTGAGCATACTAGCCCCTGCAGTGGAAAAACACATAAAACATACTAATGGAATGTCCAATTGGTTCGTTTTCTCATCACAATACACAATATTTAGCATACGTATTATGTAGGGGTTCTGGTTGATTTTTCCGATTCCGATTTTGGCCTCATCAACCCTCATATCAAAAATCGGGTTGGAACCCTCCCCCCCCCCCCCCCCCCCCTCCCAGTTAAATGGACCAATTTCCAATAAAACATAAAATGGATCACAATATATCCCAAATTTTAATAAAAACGATAAAAAGGGAGCGAATTTCAAAATTTTGTGTGGGTTCATCGTTTTTGTTGTTGCACCCCCAAGTTTTATGTATGATACATGATGGTTTACATATTATTTTAATGTTTCTTCACTGCTAAGTTGAGCTTAGATCTGATTAATTACGAAGATGTGTGATCTTCTATATTTATCAAAATGACGATTTGTAAAAAGTACGAAAAAATACGAAAAAATACGAAAAAATACGAATACGAATTTGAAATTTTAGGGGTGCGTTCGTATTTTTTGTAGTTGGACCCCCCCCCCTTTATTATCGGATGTCTACTTATATTTATTATGATATCATTATGCATTGTAATGGCAATGAAATTTAAATTTTGTTCTACTAAAAAATATAAAATCACCTGGAACTGGAACCAGAACGAACTGCCCATGATGAGAACAGCTCCAATAATGTAAGTACCCTTCTTCCCAATGTACTTGGAAAGGGGGCGAGTAAGGAAACTACCAATCACACTACATATCAGCATCATGAGGGGGTAGTAGGCTATACTTTCTTTCTTCAGAGATAATGATGAGGACTGGGGAAGGACTGATGGAGGACTGGGGGAGGACTGAGGAGGAGGAGGAGGACTGAGGAGGAAGAGGATGACTGAGGAGTAGGAGGAGGAGGGGGAGGAGACTGAGGGGGAGGACTGGAAGAGGACTGATGAGGAGGAGGAGGACCGAGGAAGGAGGAGGAGGACTGAGAAGGAAGACGAGGACGAGGAGGACGACTATGAGGAGGACTGAGGACGAGGACTGAGGAGGGGGAGGAGAACTGGGGGGATGACTGAGGAGGAGAAGGACTGAGGACGACTGAGGAGGAAGACTGAAGAGGAATAAAAGGATGAGGACTAAGGACGAGGAGGACTGAGGACGAGTGCGAGGACAAGGCCGACTGATAAGAAGGAGAAGGAGGAGGAGGAGGAGGAGGAGGAGGAGGAGGACTGGGGAAGGACTGGGGAAGGACTGAGGAGGAGGTCTGGGGGAGGACTGAGAAGGAGGAGGATGACTGAGGAGGAGGAGGAGGAGGAGGACTGAGGAGGAGGAGGACTGAGGAGGAGAAGGAGGAGGACTGAGGAAGGAGGAGGAGGACTGGGGAAGGAGGAGGAGGACTGAGGAGGAGGAGGAGGAGAAGGAGGAGGATGAGGAGGACTGGGGAAGGACTGATGAGGAAGAGGTCTGGGGAGGACTGAGGAGGAGGAGGAGGAGGAGGAGGAGGAGGACTGGGGAAGGACTGAGGAGGAGGAGGATGAATGAAGAGTATGAGGAAGAGGAGGACTGAGGAGGAGGAGGACTGAGGAGGAGAAGGAGGAGGGGGAGGAGACTGAGGAGGAGGACTTGGGGAGGACTGAGGAAGGAGGAGGAGGACTGAGGAGGAAGAGGAGGACTGAGGAGGAGGAGGACTGGGGGAGGACTGATGAGGAGGAGGACTGGGGGAAGACTGAGGAGGAGGAAGAGGACTGTGGAGAAGGAAGAGGAGGAGGACTCAGGAGGAGGACTCAGGAGGAGGACTCAGGAGGAGGAGGACTAAGGACGAGAACGACTATGAAGAGGACTGATGAGGAGGAGAAGGAAGAGGAGAAGAAGGAGGAGGATGAGGACTGGGGAGGAGGAGGAGGAATCAGGAGGAGGAATACTTAAGAGGAGGAGAAGGAGGACTGATGAGAAGGAGGAGGAGGACTGAGGAGGAGGAGGAGGACTCAGAGGACTGAGGAGGAAGAAGACTTAGGAGGAGAAGACGGCTGAAGGAGGAGGAGGAAGACTCAGGAGGAAGAAGAGTTAGGATGAGGAGGAGGAGGACTGAGGAGGAGGACTCAAGCCAATAATAAGCATGTGTCACGATACAAATGTACTTGACTATACATTTAAGGCGTGCAGTGTACTATAGTGATATTATGGTATGTTTAAAGACCGGACCACAAAATATAACCCGGTACCTAGTGTTGTACTAATACATAATAACAAGTAACAGGGATAAAATCAATGAGCAGAAACAATCGATTTCACAAGAGGCGAAAGCACTCGGGTCTGGGAGTACATGATAACTCCAACTAGTAGTGAGCATACTAGCCCCTGCAGTGGAAAAACACATAAAACATACTAATGGAATGTCCAATTGGTTCGTTTTCTCATCACAATACACAATATTTAGCATACGTATTATGTAGGGGTTCTGGTTGATTTTTCCGATTCCGATTTTGGCCTCATCAACCCTCATATCAAAAATCGGGTTGGAACCCTCCCCCCCCCCCCCCCCCCCCCCCCCCCCCCCAGTTAAATGGACCAATTTCCAATAAAACATAAAATGGATCACAATATATAATCCCAAATTTTAATAAAAAACGATAAAAAGGGAGCGAATTTCAAAATTTTGTGTGGGTTCATCGTTTTTGTTGTTGCACCCCCAAGTTTTATGTATGATACATGATGGTTTACATATTATTTTAATGTTTCTTCACTGCTAAGTTGAGCTTAGATCTGATTAATTACGAAGATGTGTGATCTTCTATATTTATCAAAATGACGATTTGTAAAAAGTACGAAAAAATACGAAAAAATACGAAAAAATACGAATACGAATTTGAAATTTTAGGGGTGCGTTCGTATTTTTTGTAGTTGGACCCCCCCCCCTTTATTATCGGATGTCTACTTATATTTATTATGATATCATTATGCATTGTAATGGCAATGAAATTTAAATTTTGTTCTACTAAAAAATATAAAATCACCTGGAACTGGAACCAGAACGAACTGCCCATGATGAGAACAGCTCCAATAATGTAAGTACCCTTCTTCCCAATGTACTTGGAAAGGGGGCGAGTAAGGAAACTACCAATCACACTACATATCAGCATCATGAGGGGGTAGTAGGCTATACTTTCTTTCTTCAGAGATAATGATGAGGTGAGATAAAGAGGGAGGTAGACTTGAGGGACATTTACTGCTATCCGAGTAAACATGTACATTATTCCAACCTGTTGATGGTATAGAGTTTGAGTGAATGTATAGTAAAGTATATAAATGTATAGTTTTTATTATGAAGCATACCTATTTCTCAAGAAGCAATACCGGATACTATGCGGTATTATCTCTCCAAACACTGAATGATTAGAATAGCTGCTAACATGTCGTCAAGAGAATGCATGAATACCTTATTCATAATAATAAATTGCAGTTATACAGATGCTAAAGTGTACACACATCTATAATATACAAACAAAACAATGTACTACAATAGCAGAGTTTAGTTAAATCATCTCACCAAGTAAAACTTCTTGTTATTTAGCCAGCATCTAATGGTACGTTGGGTAGGTTTTGGTCCCAGGAGGTCAGCTCCCTCTTCCTCTTGTGACCGCAGTTCCTCATCTGAAGACTCACGGACCATCACGTGAAACAGAAGGGAAAATAGCAAACCCGTCCCGATAACTATCAAACTTAGATACTGAAAAGCTCTGGCGTCTCCAGGACCAAGGGGTTCCATGTTGGATCCGTAAGCGTGCAGTAAATACCACATCAAGAGATACACTGCTATTCCACACACAAACGTTAGGCCCGATCTGAGTGTTGTTAAGTGTTTACTGTTTGTATTCTAATAAAATTGGCCAGATAACTGTTCGGTCGACTACGACCATTTGATAATCAATTATGTTCAACAAATGACCTTTTACTCAGGGACGTAGCCAGGATTTTTCTTTGAGGGGGGCTGTCGGCGAGGGAAGCGAGCCGACGCGTCCAATCAAGCTGCGCAGCGAGCGAAGCGAGCAAGCTGTGGCAGGGGTCTGGGGGCGCAGCCCCCAGCGGGGTCCAGGGGCGGAGCCCCTTGGCGGGGGCTAGGGGGGCGCAGCCCCCCGGAAATTTTTTGCGAAACAGGGTGTTTTAGACGACATTTGGCATTAAAGAAATTTGTAGGACAGCAATAAACTGGGATTGAAAAGAATCAAGTACTCACGTAAATTTGGTAACTTCACAACAGCAATCTGCATTCTCCAATCAGAATTTACGACTTACTCAGGCCTCATCGTCTTAAGATTTTTACATTTCCTACGGTCTAGGGGACACTATTGACTATAATTATAGAAGTCTTCTAGAATGTTTGCTTGGATTTAATGACATATATTTACTAATCCACAGTTCAAATCTTTGACTGACTGCAGTCATAAACACAGCAGTGGCGTAACGTTGCCTGTTGGCGCCCCCCTGCCGAAAAAAGCGCCCCCCCTGTTGGCGCCCCCTCCCCTTTTGGTGCCCCTCCCTAAAATTGAACAAATTAGGTGATTTTAGAGAATACGCCGGTAAAATCTCTAAAAAGTGTGTATCTAGAGCAAAACGCGCAGTTTTGCTAGTACTTTAGTTAAGTTTTCGAAATTGTCCCACATTCAAACGACGATTTGGCGCCCCCCTAAGACGGCGCCCCCCTGCACAGCGGGGTCAGCAGGGCCTTTCGTTACGCCACTGAAACACAGCCCAGTTACCAGGCGACCATGGGGACTAGGGGGCTTATCTTTTTTAAGGGGGTCGATTTTTTCCGGGGGGGGGGCTGCCGCCCCCTAGCCCCCCCTGGCTACGTGCCTGCTTTTACTCTAGTCTTATGACTGAGTGTTGAAAATTTATTTTCTGGCAGAAAGCTAGAAATTTGACCACTACGAATTTGTCTAAAACTTAAGGATAAACCTTTAGTTCGACTGGGAAAGGGTTTTAAACAATGGCAAGTTTTGTAGATGGTCACCCTTAAATAGTGGAAGACTTGACTAAAAGATCACACGACGAAGAGATATTCGGCTAATCCAAATTTTGGCTATCCGTACTGCATGCATGAATCATGATTGAACGTATATCGGTATATAATATAACTGATCACATGACGCGCGCGCGTACGTATAATCATGTGACTTTTTTTACTAACGATATGAAATTTTCATCAAAAATATTTCTTCGCGCGTTCCAAATATTCAAACTAAATTTGTTGTCTTGCATTGTGACAGTGCCAAAGAATTAGCGGTACTGCAGTATGAAAGTGTTACTGACTCAATTCCAATATTCACAATTTTCCCCAATGTTTTTAGTTGTGCGGATCAATCCTAGATAAAGATACCCATTTTACTCACGACGAGAAATATCCATTCACATTATGCTCCATCTACATCGGACGTACGATGTACATATGTCTATTTTTTATTTTTGTTCCTACTCTGATATGAGCAGGAACTGATAAAGAAGATGAGTTAATAAATGCGTCATAAAACTATCTGAATTTATTTAATGGCTTTAACGTATTGAGATTTCTTTATATGGACAAGGGAGTACATGTACGGGCCGGGACCGGTCATAATGTGATAACAGATAAGAAATTTACAAGCATTCTTTTGAGAACTTATGCTTGATTTAGCCAAAAGTCTGCTATCAATTTGACAAACTATGACACGCTTTTTGACTGCCATATAAGGTTACATGAAGTGATAAAATGTCACCCGATAACGAGTTCTAAATCTACTGTTATATCTCAAACCTAAGGGAACATCATATTATCAGATTATGCATAATGAAACATTTCGGAAACGAGGTAAAATTGATTTGTAATTGAATTTTGTATAGTAAGTCTGTTACTTTGTAATTTAGTTATTCAAATCGATTCTGTAATGGAGAATATAGTAGCGTAATCTAGGTCAATCTTCAATTGAGTTATAGATACGTTAAAATCCCAAATTGACTTAGAAAACTTCTCAAAGATTCTCAGAGCTCTTGTCAAGGTAGCATGACTTCTTATTAAGGTAGTAAAAGTTCTTAAATATTAAAATAAAGTATTAATTAAGTAAAATAATCTCACCTCACAGAATTGAGAAAGACTATTTTCTTCCTGCATACAGTCAGTACAGGAATTAGTGATAAGTGGGATATTTGTGTACTCGCCCAACCAAACTGGAACATCACTATAAACGCTCTGTTGGAATGGGAGAAGTTAAGTTGAGGAGAACTGTAAACATTTTGGAGATGAATATCGTAGAATAATAGCGATTTTTATTTTAAGCTTTTACAGAAATAAAACCACTTTATCAATAAAAATAGGTTGATCGGAATGGTGTGTGTGGATGAGATGCACTTTACAAATATAACCTGTGATATGTAAAATACAAAGCTCTGGATAGTACAAAGATACGACAACATTATTTACTATTATTCATTTGTTTATGTAAGTAATAAATTAGTTACCCGTAATAAACTTGCTGTACAAGTTCTGATGAATCTTCACAACCAAAGCATTTGTGGAAGATGAAAGAGAAAGCGATAGCTACACACGCTGTTCCGATAAGATGCCAAGTCTTACGTTTCCCGTACCTCTGAATACCTACCTTATCTATTGCAATACCAACCAATGGTGTGGCTAAACCGTCTGCTACCTGATAAAAAGGGAAATTGTAAGAATCATCAGTTGTATACGTACCAAAACTTAAAAGGAGTTGGTCCATATCAAACTCTAACTTCACATTATTCTGCCCATTCAATACCATCACATCAAACAGTTCCCCTCGTACACACTTAACACAATGTCAATAGTGTAACTTATGAGCTATAATTAATGATATGCAATTAACTGTGTTCTGTCTTTCCAGTCTCTGTAAGTGTATAGTACCTGTAGACTACATTATAATGTACGGTGCAATGTCTGTATATTTTTTCAGTACGTGATCACACAACAGTAAGCACATTATTGGAAGAGGTAGTATCGGGCTGTGATCAATGGGAATTGCAACCCCATGAAAACATCAAATATATTGGCACTGTTATAGATAACAGAGCCAATGTTGTTTTCGCTTCGTCAAATAACTTATTACATAGTACATAGTATTGAAAGAATGAAAGCTGTTCTCACACAACTCATGACAATGATACATGACGGAGACATAACAATCTCGTGATAAGGCCAATAATCCTCGCAGCGTTCAATGGTAAGAGAACTGTTCAAATGTTGGTGAACTATAACATGTGACTGTGCTACTTTAAGAATCCGTAGTGTGACCTGTGCGTAGTGCGACCTGTCTATAATTACACCCTTTAGCTTTTTGAGTACTAAATTCACCTTTTGAGCAGGACTGCATCATTGAATGTAGTACATTGTTGAATGTAGGGCAATATGGTGCATTATAAAATGTAGTAGCAGCCCACTAGTTTTACTGCCTCGTAGTATTCCGTTCCTACACGTGGAACTTAAAGAACCCTTTAGCAGGTTTAGAGTGGTCCACATGTGTTGTGATAAGTTGCACTGAGTGGGAGCTTGCTAAATGGTTACGGGTGGTTGAAGTAATGGCTGAATAGTTAGGGCTGACTGAAGGGTTATAACGGCGAGAGTGGACTAAGTGGTGTACTGGTAGAGTAATTAGCGAGTCAAGTAACACAGCTGTACAGGTTAAAGTGGAGGCTAAAAGGGTGGTCAAGTAACACAGCTGTACAGGTTAAAGTGGAGGCTACAAGGGTGGTCAAGTAACACAGCTGTACAGGTTAAAGTGGAGGCTAAAAGGGTGGTCAAGTAACACAGCTGTACAGGTTAAAGTGGAGGCTAAAAGGGTGGTCAAGTAACACAGCTGTACAGGTTAAAGTGGAGGCTAAAAGGGTGGTCAAGTAACACAGCTGTACAGGTTAAAGTGGAGGCTAAAAGGGTGGTCAAGTAACACAGCTGTACAGGTTAAAGTGGAGGCTAAAAGGGTGGTCAAGTAACACAGCTGTACAGGTTAAAGTGGAGGCTACAAGGGTGGTCAAGTAACACAGCTGTACAGGTTAAAGTGGAGGCTAAAAGGGTGGTCAAGTAACACAGCTGTACAGGTTAAAAGTGGAGGCTAAAAGGGTGGTCAAGTAACACAGCTGTACAGGTTAAAGTGGAGGCTAAACACAGCACCACATAATACAACTTCAAACAAATCACATCGGTTTTAAATCGACGAAATGGTAACCAATGTTCTGAAACTCATGGAACCATTTCACTACCACGCTAACATACCTGACATACCACGCTAACATACCTGACCAACAAGCATCAGGATCCCAGCAACATCTTTAGATTTCTGTAGAACTTCTGTTAGATAGATTATAAGGTAGGTAAACCAGCATGATGAGCAGAGATCGTTCAGAATGTGGCCCACTGAGTATCTGGAGGTTGGGAGGTTAGAACTTGTGTGTACACTGTACATTGTACATTGTACACTGTACACTATACACTGTACACTGTACACTGTACACTGTACACTGTGCACTGTACACTGTACACTGTATACTGTGTACTGTGCACTGTACACTGTACACTGTACACTGTACACTGTACACAGTACACTGTACACTGTATACTGTGCACTGTGCACTGTGCACTGTGCACTGTGCACTGTACACTGTACACTGTACACTGTACACTGTACACTATACACTATACACTGTACACTGTACACTGTACACAGTACACTGTACACTGTATACTGTGCACTGTGCACTGTGCACTGTGCACTGTGCACTGTACACTGTACACTGTGCACTGTACACTGTACACTGTGCACTGTACACTGTCCACTGTGTACTGTGTACTGTACACTGTACACTGTTTATTGTACACTGTACACTGTAAACTGTACACTGTACACTGTACACTCTTTATTGTACACTGTAGTCTATACGTTACTGAATGTAGTACATTATTGAATGTTAATAATTTAATGTAGTACACAAGAGGTTAGAACTTGTGTGTCCACTTTTGAAAATTTCTTTTTTTCTATTTATGAGTAGTAAATACTGTGTTTTGTTTTGTATCAGTAACCTGGTTACTGATACAAAACAAAACCATTAACAGTTAATTGGTGTGGGCCAATTTGATGAACAAAATTCAATTTAGTTAATCACAATGAAATTTTTTTACCGTTAATATCTTATTCTTAAGACAATTCCGGATTAAATTGCTTTTTATAAAATCTCAAGTTTCTGTATTCAGTCACACATTCATTAACCTCGTGACAGGATACAAAGATAAAACCTTGTCCTTAGTTCCAACTTTAGTTTTACTAACGATGTCAACTTAATCGTATTTGTACAGTTGTAATACTATCACTGAACTTTGGGAAGATACACAAGATAAAGACCTGTCAGGTGCACAGTAGCTAGTAAGAGAAATACAGGATATTTTACAAGTACCAGTACAGGATATTTATTGACAAGCCGGCAGCAGGGCGAAGCCGGGACTTATTTACGCTAGAATTGAGCTCATCTTTAATCACAAAGAGGTCTTTTAAGCGTATCTTTTTGCGAGATATGCGCCAAATCTGCATTTATATTGGACCCAGCTGATACGAAGATAGTCGAGCATATCATGATATTTAAGTCTGCTCCCTGGGTCCTAAATTTATTGTATTTTTCCTGTCCCTTTATAAGTTTATTAAAAAGCGCGACCTCGAAACTGAGAAATTAACATTTTAGAGCTAGAGAAATCCACCCTGAATTATGAATAATAGAAAATACTGCTTGCCGTGTCATACTAGCCAATCTGATCCACTCCTTCGCAGTTCAGAGAGGAATTTTTTCCTTCCAATTTTGCTTTTGAAAATTCCCAATGATCAGGATTCTGGGTCTCGTGAAAAGTGTGAACTCTATATATAATATACGTATAGCTGGGTTAACGGATTTGGTTAACAACTGAAACATGATATCATATTTACATGATATTATCGGTGATCAAGTGAGTTGATTATATTATTTATTGTTATATTTTACATTCATTTATTGCTGTACTCTGTAAAATTTGAAAAGTATTTAATAAAAAACAATAATATAATCAACTCCCTATTATAATAACTAGCAGGAACCCGTCTAACCCTAAAATGGTGTCAAGACTCAAGAGACTAAAACAATTATTACCTATTTAATTCGCGTTTTTGACACCACTTGGGGTACCAAATTTTGGGCTCTAAAACTCCTATTTCTTGGCAAATTTTTTATTTTTTCATGCTGATTTGGAGGCCATTAAAGCATTTGACCCAGTCAAAAAAGTTTCAGTTGTATATCTTTCACGGTTTTTGCAGAAATTTGCGTTAAAGTTGATGCCGTGGTGTCAGTAAAATGGCACAGATGAATATATATATATATCGTCTCGCTTTATATATAGTAAGATGTGAATATGTTAATACCGCAGAACATGAGATAAGATGAAGTTTTCAGGAGTCTAATTTTTAGACAATGTAAATAAAAGGTAATTACAAAATGCTAGCAACCGTAAACGAATCATCTCTGTGTTTGTTGTGTTATTACTTAATGAATAAGATCTTCGAGAGGATTATATTTCTTAATTTAGCCTCCGCATTTCATCAATGTGCAAATTTATAAAACTTTCTTCTTTATAAAACATTCTTTAGAAAAAAGAAAAAAATCTTGTTGCAGATAATATAGTCCAATAAATAAAATTACAAACTGTGCGAAAAAACGCAAACATTCCATCTCACAGTTTTTATGAGCGGACAATATTTTAAATGAAAAATCCGGATTTGAATATTATTTATGAGTCGCATAGTTGAAATTTTTTCTTGGGAGATCATGAATACGATGTTGTCACATTGAAACGTTGAATAATTCCTTTCCTGATAAGAGCCTTTTCCTTGCAGCATCAAACGGGATCAATAGAAATTTACCCAAGAAACCAATATTTTAAATGGTATGCTCATTTATTACCTATAAGCCTATCATGGTAGCGACTAACTATACCTTTTAAAACTGGTATTTGCTCTTATAACCAACATATCTTCAACTCCCTGTTTACGAAGATTATAGCATATCATGACAGTATGAAACACCCTAATAATATATTAGCATGTCAGGACTAAGGATACGATCCATTGCACAAACAGATCTGAATAAGTGATAACCGTTTCCAGATAACCCATCGGTGAGCAATTACCCTGCCCTAATGGAAATTCTTTGCTGGACTGGAGTATGAATAAGGCAGCAGCGATGTTGCAAGGGCGGTCGAACTATTCGATGACCCAGTAGAGGGATCTACGAATCTCTCCAAAGTTTCCAAAGTAACCACTATAAGCTTGTCATTGAACAGATTCCTTGCTGGTCCTGGGATATGTAACTCGTTCTAATAACGGGACTCTAACTCGTTTTACAGCTATTCTATTCCAATTGAAGAAGTGGTAGAATTTATCCCTATAACTAGGCATTCTGAACAGATACAAGCAGGGGTTCAGTGCAGCGTTTACCAGAACAGGTACATAAAGTAGCAGTAAATGTCCATAGAATGATATAACATCCCCACTTATTATTAGTTGGGCAGATTCCAGCCGGTAGGAGAGGAGTATCAACATCTGGTAAGCAAAGACAGGGGTGTTGGACACCATGAAGAGTGCAGTGAAGAGGGTGATTGTGATGGACACATTCCTGAATCTCTTCTCGTGGTTGTTTATCAGAGTGAGAGCTGTTGATTTCCTCATCAGAGACAAGGTGCCCGCTAGAAAGCTGATGAAAATGATGAGCGAGGGAAGGAACAGTTCTACTTGGAGAGCGATGAGGAAGAAGAGTTTAGTCCACTCTGGGGTGCGTTCTGTAAAGTTAAAGGAGCAGAATGGTAGCTGCTCTTGGAAAGTCCCTTTCATCCAGCCCACACCGAAACCTACCCCATCAACTGTCAACAACAGAATACCATATCCTGCCACCAACGCAATGACCATGTTTCCGCGGACATACCTTGCTTTATAAGGCAGGATGATGGCCATGGTTCTGGATACACTCAATACAGTTACCATGAACATGGAGATACGAACTGTCAGATTAGCGAGTATTGCCCAGAATGCACACACGTGCTCGTCTTTAAAGAGAGTTTCGTTGCGATCGTTGAACAGGGAGACGATGACAGGAATAGCGGTGATGGAAGTGCAAATGTCGACAGACACGATACTCACGTATAGTTTATCTGGGATTGATTTGTGTCTTCTGTACCAAAAGTAGAGAAATGACGATATGTTGCCAAATAGACCGGTTAAGGAGATGATTATCATTGCACAGCCTATAATTCGGTCTGAAGTTGAATCCATTTTTCTGAGGCAGTTGATGGATTTACTGTTACAAAATTACATTATAATCAACTTGTACACTGCTGAACACAATTGAGACCTAACAAACAAATTAATGAAGTATGCTCTAAAGAAGTTTAAAAGTTAGAATTTAACCATAATTACTACTAATTGTTATCCAAGGCTGATCAATAACAGTTTAATTTACCCTACAGATGAAAACGAGAACAACTCAAATGACCTCATTCGACTGAACTAAACGTAAGATCTGCAGAGCAAACTTTATTGGCGAAAGTTTAAATGAGGCGATTAAACAACTCTTATCCAATCTAAATATGGGTTAAAATACCATTTAACTGCATGTTGGTTTGCACGAAGTCTTTTTGTTTTATTGCTTGTTTAAAAGTAGCCGTAATAGGTATCGCCGTAAATATGAATTTATCAGCTCAAGTTAGGAACTTTATCAACACTGACTTTATATTCGGCAATTTAGGAAGTCCTTGTATTTGAAGTCATAAATGTCAATCTTATGCACTCTGCAGTTTTTTAAATATAATATCATTTGTATATAACTTTTTTTGTAAATTGGTCATTAGAACTACCGGCACCGTCCAGACGACAAACAAACAAAACATTGCAATATTTTGAAGAATTAATCTTCCGAATTAGACACATTCACATCACGTGACATTTCGACTGTCCCTCAGCCGGTCACGTGAGTATGTACACATCGTTACTCTAATTGTAACGGGTATTGATATTTCTCCAAGGTATCATGTGTTAACGGGTACAACTATGTGGTTAGGCCAAACGTAATATTTATTGTAGTTGCACAGTGCAAGTGGTAGATCGGGTAAAGTTAAGCAGGGTAAAAACCAATCATTTCAGTGTTCTTTGGGACGGCGCTACGTTTCCATTCGACCAGTTAATGGTTCACACCGTAAGATTCATAATTAGCACATAGATTATGAAAAGCGTATGTTGGTTTGATAAATAATGGCATGCCATATTTTAATGGATCATCAAATAAAGGTAATGACTTGAATTCAGATATAATTTTGAATTTCATAGTTCTTTTGTCAAGGGACAGTCTAGAGTTACATAAACCACTAGTCTAACATAAACCATATAATAATAAAAATAAGAATTAGTCGACAAAAGAAACACCGAAAGCCTTATTGTATAACTATGAAACTGAGATTTTGTCAGGCATTCTTGTACAGACTAATAATTCATAAACTAGTTATTTAGGCAAACTAAGAATAATAGAATAATAAATTCGCTTGGTTGGGTCGGTGTACTCAGAGGTCTAAATCATGCAGCTCACTGAGTCAAGGTAGTACGTATAATAAATAATTGATAGGATTTTATATATTGGCTATAAAGCAATAATTTGATCACGAATTAATTAATTAATGCAGCTCACTGAATTAAGGTAGTACATATAATAAATAATTAATAGGATCTCATACATTGGCTAAACGGCAATAGTTTGATCACGAATTAATTAATTCAGAGACTGGGTTTAATTTCATAGATTAAAGTGTATCTAATTCATTTAACTGATTTGCTACAACTCTTTGTCAATAGAAAATGCTTAAAGGTATTATTTACTTGAGAGTATTATATTATATTATATAACAAATGAAACAAAGTTCAAATGGCAAGTTCAACTTCAAGTTTCATACTATAGCATTTCGCAATTAAACTAAAGCAATCGTCAGGAACTTATATCATAAGCATCGGTCTAACACTTGCAATTCAGAAGAAAAGTTCCCAAACCGGATTTAATGTGTTGTCGTTTGTTGAGTGAGCTGCATTGTGGGAACTAACCCAGGCTCATTATAAGCAACCACTGCTATGAGTGCTAGGCAATCACTGCTGCAATTATCATCTTGATGTCATGTGCTTGCAAGGAACAAAATACAAGGAGCCTTCTGACCAGACAATAAGCAAGGAATACAGGCTTATTATTGTGCAGCAACAAAAGTGTTGACAAGGAGGATTAGGGTTTGCCTAAGTGGATAAAATCATATTGTTACACTAGTGACATAGTTGACTTTCTTGATCTACTCATCACTAATAGTGAGAGAGGACACCAACTATAGTATCACTAATGTGTATGGTCCTACCAACCCAAGAGCAAATGCTAATCCTCATTCCTCAGTCAGTAACATATTTAATATGTTTATCGTTACCTTAGCAAAACATATTATATATGTACCAATACTATAACATACAATAATATAATAAAGTTTATTTTGGACTAAGCCGAAACCCAAGCGTTATTATATAATATAAGTCTACTGGAAATAAGAAAGTTAGAAGAGTGTTCTACGTAACTTTGACAATCAAAATGCAGATAATTACTGAACTAGTGTACCGTAAATTATGGGTTTACAGTAGTTACTGTATTAATGCATATTATTAAGTTCCAAGCAGCAGTAGCGCAGTTATGCACTGTTGATCAATTTACCTTCTTATATTTTATAACTTTAGGCCAGGTAGCGCAGTTGGTTAGAACGCCAGCTTTGCAATCGTGAGGTTGCGAGTTCAAATTCCACTGTCTGCCTGGCGTGGGGTGAGCGTCGTTGACGTTCAGCTAAAAATCCTGAGTGGTCTATGCAGCCCCCCGGTACACACTACATTAACCGTCACTGGCCAAATAGATCCTTCGGCTTCCTGTAATTGGCTGGTTGCACTTGTGTAACAATGTGGCTGTTGGAATACACCGAAGTAAAATAAGTGTCTTGATAAAAAAACTAACAGAATAGAATTCAGAGTCAATGTTCAAGAGTATAAAAGCAACAGTAGTCCAACTATGAAATTGATATCACTAATGAAAGTAGTCAAAAAAACTGCTGCTGATATTGTTGGGATCCACAAACCAACTAGACACGCGAATCTCATGATGACAAAGAGGTAGCTGGTCTTTCAGAACAGTGGAAGAACCTTACAGACTGAAGTTGAATCACAACTTTAGCAGATCTGTGTATGCGCAGATACAACAGCGACTCAAACAATTAAAATGTGAAGCAGCAGACCATCTTACCATGACAATTGGATCCACAGATGAGTCAAGACGGATGTTTGAGGCTGTTAAACAACTTACCAACAGCAAAACCACTCGACCTATCTCAGTACCAATTTAGCTTAAGAGGGTCTCTTGAGAAATAAATTAAGTTAGTGTGAGCTCTTATTTTTTTACTATAGACATTATTACTTGTGCCTACAAGACCTTAGACCACTGGAGGACCCTGCATTATGTAATGGCATATGTCGTGGAGCCTCGTTATGACCTTCATGCGTATAATTTGGTTATTTGACCGTGTTTTCTGAGCTAGATCCAGTGGACCATCAAGGGGTTCTCCATGATTATAAAGTAATTAAGAAGTTAACAAATAGGTAGAGAATTTCTTGATCGCTAATAATTTGGATTGCTAATATTTATTTGTAAAGTTACACAATCAGGACTCTTCGTTACTGGCACTTACAGGCTCTATTTACTAGGGTAAACAACTCCAATGATTGCAAAAATTTCATATAATGGAGAGCAATATTATATTATTATATTATCGAGCATTAACATATATAAATCTCAGCAACACAAGGAAGAAGGGACTAATTCAATGAACACCTTCTTTAGAATAAAAACATAGGTCGGCGCTATATTGCCATTAGATAGTTATCATTGCTACAAAGGAACACAATTAGCGGAGGTAATAGCTCTCTTACAAAGAGTGTATATTTGTGATGGCACTGTAAGCCTGTAGTCTGGGGCAATGATACACAACTGAGTATAATGAAAGTGTGTTCGAACCTTCGAAGTATAATCACAGGAAAATGTAGATAACAATATTATATACTGAGAGATAACAAAGTTAAGGTAAAAGTATATAATCCAAAGGTCCTATAATATAAACCAAAGGCATAATATATAGAACTGGAAATATATAGCCTGACAGCATCAACTTACCGTAATGTACAGTATACACGTATAGTGAGCCATTAAGTGATTATCACCTGACAAAAATAACACTTTGATAAGCACTGGATGGCTCACTATTTTGTTGTATAATCATATCAAAGTGAATATATATAATATAGATATTCACTTTGATACAATTGTACAACGACAAAGTGAGCCATTGTTAGTTTGGTCACACAGGTTTATTTCCTTTTCTGTGACAGACTTCATTCTAACCAGGTTTACCTTTTCTTGAGTAACATCGTTTGTGTTTGTAGCAGACTACTGTCGCGTCCAATCCGTAAGTATTTATAATTGTTTCATTTATTAGATGGTGTATATGGAATTGGTTTATATGCTATGTATTGAGTTATTATTGTTGTAATAAAGTATTTTGTTTTACAGGTTTTGTATATGTACAAGTAAACCGGAGTTTCACTTGAAGAACGTATCTAACAGCCATTATATCATACTAACTAGTTCATACAGAACATTTGATTTATCAGAGCTCAAATCACCATTGGTGGTGATGTGATTATAAATCGAGCTGTATTCCAATATAATCTGCATGTAAAGCCTCTCATGGGGTATATGAGACGCTTGACATGCTATTTGAGAGGCTGCAGATACTTTTTTGATTTATTTTTTGAAAGCCCTAATTGTAGCAACACAATGATGTTTTATTGTATAACTTACTAAAAATCATTTTGAGTTTGAGTCTGACACTTTCCTTTTTTGACAGCTCAACTTAGTCGAATGTACGACATAGAAGGAAATAATATCGAAAGTTACTTAATTGTTTAGCAGAAATCTGTTAAAAATTAATATTACAATTGAGAAATTATTCAAATTTACATACCCAAATTGAGCTGTTGCACTGATGGGTATTCTGTTAATACCAGTATAAATACCACTTCTTGAATCCATCTCTGATACCTAGTGGTGAAATCACAACTATAATATTAAATATTTATGTAGCAATCAGTTGGTATCACTTTCAAACATTACATAAAGATAGTTTAGTATAGTAAAGTAGTAAAATACTATATTTATAGTACATTATAATTAAGATGCACTAAAAGGGTACCCTATAAAGATTCTTGATCTTTCAGCAATACTTCTCCTAATTTAACCCTCAATTACGATTTTCTGATCATTCGGCTGAGTCAACCAAGGAGACATTACACAGATGTGCATTGTGCAACTATGCATCCTTAGCTATCTCCCTAGACCATGTGAACTGAAATTGAAATAAATTGATCTATTAACATTGGACAACCCTAACCAGGCATGGAGGAAGAGACAGGGCCCCCCCCCCCCCCCCCACTTTTGAGCTCTTTTTCGGCTACCCTCACAGTGCAGCAGCTGGGCGAAATTGGCACCCTCTACTAATATCCAACTTCCTTCATGTCTGACCCTAACTAGAGTGTGAAAACTGTAATAAAGCCATCCGTACCAAATGCTTCAAATCTGCTAAATATTCATGAAAACAGGGGTGTAACAACGGGCCGGCTGACCCCACTGTGCGAGGTGCACCATCTTAGGGGGGCGTCAAATTGATGCTTGAATGTGGAACAATTTTGAAAAACTTAACTACAGTACTAGCAAAACTGTGCATTTTGCTCTAGGAACACACTTTTTCTGATATTTTATCGGTGTATCCGCTATAATCATCTAAATTGTCCAATTTTAGGGAGGGGTGCCAATAGAGACGGGGCACCAAAAGGGGGCGCTTTTTTGCCGGGGGGCACCAACATGCAAAGTTACACAGCTCCACTGCATGAAAGATGGACTATTGATGTGCCGCAAGTGTACCAGTTATGCAGAACTCTGCAGAGGAGTGATGCTGTTCATTTCCATATGATGAGGCATCCAATGACTCTGATAGATTATTATAATGATCTGAAAACTGGCCACAGGCCTAAATATTACATATCAATCAATTTCAATTCATTAATGTTACCAATCTTAAAAACTATCCAAAATATCTAAGAAAGTATTCTCTAGCCAAAGGGCTCAATATTCAAATCTAAATCTTTTTAGATTTTAGATTTTAGATTATTATAATAGAAAAAATGAGGATGCCTTGATTGCATCATATGCCATTGTACTTGAACGCTGTCGTCGCTATTCTAAAATCAAGTTCTGAAATGCAATCAAGCAGCTCAATTCCTCAAAAAATCTGGCTCAAACCAATACTGATCCTGTGCAGCAGGCCTTGTACCAAATTTCAGCATGCACAGGATTCTATAGAAAAACATTGGCAGGGAAGAAGAAAGACACAAGTGTTGCACTCTATGTCTTTGGCCATCTCAACACATGGGTTTTAGAAACAGTATCACATTGTACCTCTAATTGCTCATATTGAGCCATTTATCAGCCTCCTAATAACTTCTGTGAAAGGCCTCGCTGCAAAGTTAGTCCAAATTTAGTTAAATGGAAAAACTGCATGTTAATTTGTAATATAATGGAGTTTATTAAGTAAGTATTAAAATATTTAATACTTTCAACACTACTATTTAACAAATAATTTGAGCCTGAAGATGGCGTTGACGCCAAAAATTTGTCCTTAGACCTAACTTCCTTGTTTCATTTGTCCTTGTCTCTTCTAACCGGATAATATCCAACTATCAGTATTTCAATCATGAGACTAATAAACAGCGAACTACTCCGTTATTTGATATAATGGAGTTTGACTCGATTAACACACTCCATATTTCTAAAAGTTTTCAGCTCTCTTAGCGGCCAATTAGTGCTATGTAGTGCTATGCTTCTGGTAACAATAGTAGCAAATAGCTATAGTATTATTTGATGCGCGGTGTGGCTCAATAGTGCATCGCACTACATTAAAAATTAAATTAAAAATATTTTGATGGTATATTTTTTTTAAGTATTCTAATTTTACATTTATCACTGCTAAATAAAAATACACTTTTTCCTTTTAGTTAAGCGTAACAACTTGACACATGCTTAGCCTTGACACATGCTGTAACCCCTTATCGCGCGCAAAGCCGCAAAAGGCTCTCTTCCCGACCAGCGTGCACAAGAAGTATAATTGCATGACCCGCCGCGCACGAGTGCGCGGCTCCTCCTGTATCGTAGAAACTCTAGTGAAGCTATAGTAAAACTATAGTGAAGCGACAGTGGGGGTCACGCACGTGATACAAAGGTATACAACGTGCATGTAGCAAGCTTAGCCTTAAGCATTATATTTTGCTACACGTTGTATACCTCTCGTGCATGCGGCCGGTCGGCCGCGCTCAAAAGGCACAGGGGGGTCTGAAACCAGGTTTTCGATCAAATGCTGCCATTTTTAGTCAAACGTCGCCAACAGTTGCTCTCGTCCAATGAAATCGCTGCATTTTGCAAGTTAGTATGCATAATTGAATTACATATATTCATATGCAGAGCTTGGCTTACATAATGCAGCGATTTCATGGGACGAGAGCAACTTTTGGTAACGTTTGACTACACATGGCAGCGTTTGATCGAAAACCTGGTTTCAGCTCCCCCTGTGAAGGGGTTACAGCGTGATGTGTCAAATATTTTTATATTATTAATATTAAGATATGAGATAATAAATTACATTTACAGTAAACATTAAACATGTTTCACAGTCGTTGCATTATATTAACAGTTAAATTTGTACGTTTGGCGTTTGTGCTTTTGGCTTTGCAACAGCAAAAATAAACCCACTCAAATTAATTTTATACCTGTAGGGCATTTTTACAAGAATGTTCTTAAAATTTGGGCAGGCGATTAAGTGTTGTTATACGTTGTATGACCCGTTTTAGCGCGATGCACTACTGGGTCGCGCGCGCATCAAATAATGCTTCTCGCAACCGATGCAGATCGGCGAGATGCGAAGGATTGACATCGTGAATCAATATGACCCGCCGCGCACGAGTGCGCGGCTCCCCCTGTATCGTAAAAACTCTAGACAGTGGGGATCACTACGTAATACAAATTAAGTGGAAGCAAACTAGTCGACTAAAAATTTTCAAAAAGATAGAGATTAATTTTAATAATTAAATTACAAAGTAACTAGTTTTTACTAGCCCCATCCTGTATCATGATGTTGTCTCATGTCTATTGTTAATGGGCTAACACCCAGCAAACCCTACCGGCCGGGGAATATCTCCAAAAGTAAAATAGATAGAACCTTCCGGTTTTCAACAAAATGTCCGTCTCGTAAATTTAAAGGAGGCTCCTCAGGAGCACAATTGGGGACAACTTAGATTTTGAATTAAACCGAAAAGTTTGATTTTCGGCTAAATTAAAGATCGCAGCTTTTAAACTTTGCAAAGTCATGTCGTTGTCATGACTACTAAACTAAATGCAGCGTGTGAGAGGTAAACTCGACGTGACGCGCGACGCCAAACGTGCTGTTGAAAATCTATCACCTCTAGCAAGCCCAGCAGGCGGTAAGGTTTTCTGGGTAGGCGAGAGAGCTGAGAATTCATATTTCAGATGCAAAAGAAAGCAGAAGGAAGGGGGGGGAGAAGTGGAAGGGGGGGGAGTTGCAGGGAGGTAGGGGGATGTTTTGCGATATAAAGATATAAGACTTATAATTTCGGCGGAAAATGTATGAAGTTTTAAAAGTCGATTTTGAGGGCGAAGATCGCGTTTTTACCTACCCATCCAAGAGGCCCCTTTCTTGTTGGCGAAATTCTCTACTTTCTTTTGATATTTGACTTGATTGGCGGAGAGTTATGGTTTGTCAAAGTGGACGTTTTAAAATGAAGCGCAAATTCTTTTAGACGCGCCTAGGTTCGGCCCAGCAAACCCTACCGGCCGGGCAATATCTCCAAAAGTAAAATAGATAGAACCTTCCGGTTTTCAACAAAATGTCCGTCTCGTAAATTTAAAGGAGGCTCCCCAGGAGCACAATTGGGGACAACTTAGATCTTGAATTAAACCGAAAAGTTTGATTTTCGGCTAAATTAAAGATCGCAGCTTTTAAACTTTGCAAAATCATGTCGTTGTCATGACTACTAAACTAAATGCAGCGTGTGAAAGGTAAACTCGATGTGACGCGCGACGCCAAACGTGCTGTTGAACATCTATCACCTCTAGCAAGCCCAGCAGGCGGTAAGGTTTTCTGGGCAGTTGTCATACGTTGTATGACCCACGTCACCGCGCACGTTATACAAGCGCGCGGCTCCCCTGTATCGTAAAAAAGATAAAAAGGTTTCCACATAGAGTTAGTAAAACAACCATGGGAGTCATGACGTGATACAAGTAAGCCGTGCGTCATCGACCGTAAGGGGGGACTGTTGTGCAAAGAAACTGCTGCTCACTGCTGCTCACTGCTCACTGCTGCTCACTGCTGCTCACTGCTGCTCACTGCACTGCTATGGAGGACCTTAACAACAGTAAACTCAACCATATCTTCTAATTTGTGGGTAACTTCCTTGGATTTTTCACCAGGAACTTTCGCTAAATCTAGGTAGTGCGCCATCGACAGTGAGCCGCGCGTGCCGACTGTAGGATGGTTTTTTAGCACTAATTTCGGCCAGCACAATTTTCTTCAAAGAAATAGATATTAAGTATTCTTCCCGACCTCCGATTGCAACAAAAAGTGTCCGAAAAGTTTAAAGCATATCCAACCATCAGACATTATGTTACAGCTAAAAGCAGCGTATTTTGCCCCATTTTGATCACTATATCAACTCCGATATCCACTAAATTTTTCGGACAGATGTGAAAGCCCTATTGGAAGGTCGTCGCCAATTTTCAGAATGATCTCATTCAAGGAACTGAAGAAATATCCAAATGATACGACAAAAATCAACGAATTTGGTCAAATTTGGTCAAATTACGCAACTTTTACAGCTAATTTTTCTCCAAAAGCCGCGCACCATCAAATATGGCACCTAGGCGAAACTCACTGATTTTTCCAACAAGGTATGACAAATTTGGTATTGTGAAAATTCTCACAGTCTCTAGAAAACAATGGTACAAAAATTTTAAAAATCCGAGCAAGTTTATTTTTATGGTGCACCCCCTACTAAATCCCTTGGAGGACTTTGCCGCTTCGACGCGCCGCGCAAACTAGCATTCTTGCTTCTTGTCGACGATCGTTGCTTTGCTTCGCAGAGCAACGATCTCGACGGATTGACATCGTCAATCAACTAAATCCCACACTAGGAACTCAACCTAGGCCTATCTCTGCATAGAGACATATCTCTATTCATTATTTTATGATTTCGTATATACTTTGACCAGAACAGAGATATATATAGAGAGATATATATATATATAGAGAGAGAGAGAGAGAGAGAGAGAGAGAGAGAGAGAGAGAGAGAGAGAGAGAGAGAGAGAGAGAGAGAGAGAGAGAGAGAGAGAGAGAGAGAGAGAGAGAGAGAGAGAGAGAGAGAGAGAGAGAGAGAGAGAGAGAGAGAGAGAGAGAGAGAGAGAGAGAGTTAGCAGCAGTGAGCAGCTGCAGTTGGCAGCAGTGAACAGCAGTTAGCAGCAGTTAGCAGCAGTGAGCAGCAGTTAGCAGCAATTTCTTTGCACTGTACTATAGTCCCCTGTGTAAGACGCGCGTGCTGACCATTGAATGGTTTTTAGCAAGCATATTTTGGCAAGCACAATATTTCGAAAACAATAAAAAAAAGTTATAATACTTCCCATGCAATAATTTTGTTCAAATTTGGTCAGCATACGTAAACACTTATGTTTTACTGAACTTAAATTAGTTTGAGCAATTTCGATGGTCAAAATTTGAGTTATTAACGAATTTACACCTATTTTGTCATTTTGAGACCTCTTAATTCTCTTAATCAATGCCAATCTCTCCCAACTAATTTAGGTTCGGTAGTTTAGTATGATTAAAAGGTTCTGAAAAATTTTCAGCATGATTCATGTTGACGGATGTTACTCGTCTAAATTGCTTCGAAGTAGCGCCCGATGGCAAGTGCTACGAAGTAGCGCGCGCCGGGCCAGATCATTAACATTGGTCAAGATTATATTCATGTTCAAGAACCGAAGATATGACCGAATAATACGACAAAAATCAACAAATTTCGTCAAATTACGCAACTTTTACAACTAATTTTGCTCCAAAAGCCGCGCACCATCACATATGGCACTTAGGAGAAACTCACTGATATAATTAGTTTTAGGAAATTTATTTGTTTAGTATTCGAATCGAAAAGGTATTTTAATTGGATTTAGTTTTAGGGGACAAGTGATACAGGTTTATTATTAACAATAAATAAAGGGCTTTTACTAATTCGCTCGCCCAAAAATTATCACGTGTCTTTGGTTCTTACGGTTTTCAACCGAACAAAGCGGTTTTATATAAACCCTGATCCGGATCCCAACTCTGATCCAACCCTAACCATAACCCCAAAGCTATCCACAACCCTTAGTCTAACCCTAACCCGAGCCCTAAACAATCGAATTCGTGTTTAACTAGCCTGTCACGTGACCAGAACAGTTTTTTGCCCATAACTCTCAGGGAAGCATTTTTACTTTAAATCATGGGGGTGGTTCGGAATCAGCGTCCAAAAATACACTGAACAAAAGTACTTTCATATCCTCAGGGCCTTTTCACAAGAATTTTCTTAAAATTTGGGCGAGCAATTTAAGGGGAGCGTAACTAAAGTGAGTTCGATCAAGACAAGATTGTGTTTCGTGCACTCAAACAATATCAGCTCGATCAAATTTGAAACTTGTTATTTTTCCCGTAACGGGCTTTCATACTTTGATAAACTTCATAAATCTAAATTACTGCACGAGAAAGTTTGATTAAAATTCCTGCAGGATGAATCGATCTACAGTTCACAATACTATTATCAATTATCAAAAGAGTCCGACTGATTCGAAATACCGGTCAATACCATTCAAAGTTAATCAGCCGTGATGCATAAAATACCAATAATTTAACTTTAATCTAGAGGGCTTTTCCGTGAACATAAAGGTGCTAACTCCGTGGGAGGTTCCTTACTGATTAAATTTAAAGAGCTGGGTTCTCGGTCTTACCGCTAATTATAGGGGGTGCACCATAAAAAATAAACTTGCTCGGATTTTAAAATTTTTTGTACCATTGTCTTCTAGAGACTGTGAGAATTTTCACAATACCAAATTTGTCATACCTTTTTGGAAAGATCAGTGAGTTTCGCCTAGGTGCCATATTTGATGGTGCGCGGCTTTTGGAGCAAAATTAGCTGTAAAAGTCGCGTAATTTGACCAAATTTGACCAAATTCGTTGATTTTTGTCCTATTATTTGGATATATCTTCAGTTCCTTGAATGAGATCATTCTGAAAATTGGCGACGACCTTTCAATAGGGCTTTCACAACTGTCCGAAAAATTTGGTGGATATCGGAGTTGATATAGTGATCAAAATAGAGTAAAATACGCTGCTTTTAGCTGTAACATAATGTCTGATGGTTGGATATGCTTTAAACTTTTCGGACACCTTCCTTGTAAGTCTATGAGTAAGCTCACCAATTTTTGTTGCAATCGGAGGTCGGGAAGGATACTTAATATCTATTTGTTTGAAGAAAATTGTGCTGGCCGAAATTAGCGCTAAAAAACCATCCTACAGTCGGCACGCGCGGCTCACTGTCGATGGCGCACTACCTACTAATTAACGACCATATTAAATGTTAGTCATTTGGACTTTTGGAAAATATTGGAATCAGAACGGATAATAAAATAAGGATCATAAAGTCAGGAATCATAAAATTCCGAAAATAAAACACCCGGATCATAAAATCAGGAAGGTAAAGGCCCCGTACATTATGATTATATTAATGCAGATAGTGGTTCTAAGGTGATAGTGGTTCTAAGGTGTGAGGATTCTTTATGATTTATACAAATAGTGGTTCTAATGTAACTGACAGACGTGGGTACAGGAGCCTGCAATCTACATCGACAATTTGAACATTGAAACATTTAAACAGAAATATTTAACGAAAAGTCAAAGTGTAACTCAATCGTCCATAGCTAATAAGATGTGACCACCGCTGAGATCAGAGTAGTACCACATGCAAGATCAAGCTCGCGAACATGGACAACTTCTAATTGGACACTCTGTACTGTCCCTAACTAGTATGCAAAATGGAAATTTAAAAGTCTATGCTGTAATCAGAACTTTTTGTGCGGTTTGTCCTGAAATAAATTAGATTTTTAGATGAAAAGACAAAAATAGCTATCCGATCCGATGTTATGTGTGAACTATTTCTCTATTGGGATAAAACATAAAACCTTTACAAAGCTGAGTCATTAATATGATTGGAATTTAACCAAATTTTCTAATTAATTAACAAAAAATAATGGTCACAATTAAATAAAAATTACCATAACTAGAAGAGCATCATGTAGCAGACGAAGATTGCAGCTAGGTATTGATAAGCAGATCTAGATCGCAAACTGGCAGTGTTTCCTGAAATGTTGATATGAAGATTATATTGGATCGATTTGGAAGGGATGCGATTATACAAGACATACTAAATACCTTACACTTGTCATACGTTGTATGACCCGCCGCGCACGAAGTGCGCGGCTCCCCCTGTATCGTCAGGAAACGACCGTGGGGGTCGCAACGTGATACAACCTTATAGTGTATGTACTAAGAGCGTCAACTTGCGGGTGAACATTTTATGTCTCAAAACCCAACATATTATACATCATTGGAAAGGTCTCAGTGAGTAGAGTCGGTTGGTACCAAGTTTTGGGCAAATGGCTGTTCCTAGCGGAAGTTATAACCCGTCAAAGTCCCAAAAATGATCAATTTAGAAAATGGGGCGGGACATCGTGTTATTACACAAGACTTTATTTGAACGAACACCATTTGGAAGCGCTACTTTTTAATTTTGCCTTCTGTCAATTTCTGTCGTCGGATTATAAACTATATCATCATTTTATTGCTTAACGACTGCTTTTCTTGCTTATTAGTATTACAGTTACAATTACTGTACTAAAAAAAATCTATCAAAAATTATTTACTAAATTGTAAATAAAAAAATTAAAAAACGCCCAAAAATAATTTTTGATTTGTAATGGTTTTGAATGCCTTTTATTTGATCGTTAGTTGTAATGTCCGTTTAAAATTATATCCGCTCTCGCAATATCCAGTAATTGTAAACAATGACCGATCAGGTATATCATATATCAAAGCGCCCCTACTACACTACTAAATACTATGCACTAAATCGCTCGGATGATGATTAATCACTCTACACTCGACGACTGTCACGTGACTTTTTCAACCCGTTCTCTAGCTAGTCCTGAACGACTATTAAAATGGTCCCCTAGCGCGCGAGATATCGGCGAAAAACTGTCTCGATCACGTAAGATTACCATATAAGGAAATTGGTCTAATTTCTCGTTAGGGTAAGGGTTTCAGCATATCAATATGCTTCATTTAGAGATTAGGTTAGGGTTGGGATCAGATTAGAGGGTTAGGGTTTCGAATAGGCATTCATTTCAGAGCCAACTAGAGGACGTGTTAAAAAGTTACGTGACAGTCGAGTGTAGAGTGATTAATCATCATTCTTTTGGTGAGGCATATAGGGACGAATAGTTAATATATACTGGCAGTGGCTATATATCAGTATTTCTTACCTTCGGATTTCGTAGTTGAGAATGCGTACTGTCTTACTCCGTTGTCCAAGTTAAAGTTCATCCACTCTTTGTTTATTTCCCACGCATCTCTCCAAGACGAAACTCCTGTGCACACTTCGTTGGAAGGTTCGAAAGTGATCAGTAACTCATCGTTACAACTGATCTTCAAACCCATTGTTCCGTGCGTTTCTACTTTGAAGATCCTAAAACCATCATCATCTTTAGCGGGCAAATCAACAGGAAGGTCTAAAATTAAATCGTCTCCGTCTACTCCCGTACACTTAATGAAACCATATTTTGGTGGATCTGTGAACTGTAATCTGAAAGCCCCTGCATTCATGCTGTTATTGGTTTGATAGTTGATTCTCAAATTTCTGAGATTTCCAATCGTCAGATCAGTCTTCATATAAACATCCGCTCGGTTGGGAATTTCAATCTGTTGTCTATATTTCTTGTCCTTCCATTGACCTGAAATTGTGGTGTTTAAAAGACATATGACAATTATAAATGGTACTTCTCAGTTCTCAGTCGAGTAGAAAATATTATAAAATCTAGCTTATATTACCTGGAATACTGGGATCCGCTGCATCACTGACAACTAGACAGAAAGCTGCAAAACCTAAAAACGAGAGGCTCTGCATCTTTATGTCGTCATGAGCCTACTGAAAAACAAAAAAGAAGAGGAATAAATACGAATTCATATTTTAAATTTACCTTTTATATTGGGTCAGACATTAACATTGTAATTTGAATTTGAATTCGTTTAGGTTACACACCGTTTATAAAGTTCGAATAAGGACAACAAAGTATATAAGGAAATCGAGCTAGCCTATAATAGACTCAACTTTCAGAAAATGAAAAAAAAATGTGAGTTTCTTGTTTTAAACAGCATTTGATGAAAAATTTTGCCCCATGTTTTAAAAGTTTGTTCGTTAATAATACTAGCAGGATTCAGGAACCCGTCTAACTCTAACCTTAAATTTAAATTTAAAATGGTGTTAAGACTCAAGAAACTAAATGTCTAAAATAATCACAGTGCTGGCAAACATGACTGATGACTGTGTCACTTATACTCACCATACTATTTACCCCCTTTACTATTATATTTATACTAGTGGGTGCACGATAAAACTAAACTTGCTCGGATTTTCAAAATTTTTGTACCATTGTTTTCTAGAGAATGTGAGAATTTTCACAGTACCAAATTTGTTATACCTTTTTGGAATGATCAGTAAGTTTCGCCTAAATGCCATATTTGAATTTGATGGTGCGCAGCTTTTGGAGCAAAATTAGGTGTAAAAGTCGCGTAATTTGACGAAATTCGTTGATTTTTATCGTATTATTTTGTCATATCTTCGGTTCCTGAACATGAATCATGCTGAAAATTTGAAAAACACATGAATAAGGAAGATCTTTAAACGTGTGTTCTTAAGCTCATTCATACGAATACATGCTAAATAACATGCTTGCTTACATAAATTAAGTGTGCGAAAACATATGGTTGATATGCAATATATGTTACAGGCCCATCTTACTAAATATAAAGCGAGACAATATATATAATTATATATACTAGAAACCCGCTGGCCGCTAGTCGAAAGCTTTGTTCGAGGATTTTTTTAAAATCAGTTATTATATGTTTTAATTTCTTTTCATCATCTAGCTCTGTTATACTGTAGAAAGTATGGCTTTTATTTTGCAATGTCGACAACGTTGTTATACTATAACAACGTTGTCGACGTTGCAAACGTTGTCGACGTTGCATACTTATAGAATTTGGATTCCCTAAACGATACCTTTTACCGCATCTGTTCATAAACACTAACAGATTGAAGCTGCGGCGGAATGACAGTCTGAGGGCGGCCCAGTAAATAAATAATTGCACGAACCAAAACATTTTAATCCGAACTTACTGATCAAATATTTACCACAAAATAATGACTAGACTGTTATACTCAAATACACGACAGTAATCACAGTTGAAGAGGACAGTGCAAGATTCGTTTGATATAATTATATTCAGTATTTGGTCATACTTGATGCATACCCCATTTCAAATCTTACTATATATAAAGCGAGACCATATATATTTATCCGTGCCATTTTACTGACACCACGTTATCAACTTTAACGCGAATTTCCGCAAAATCCATAAAAGATATACAACTGAAACTTTTTTGACTGGGTCAAATGCTTTAATAGCCTCCAAATGCCTCCGCATGAAAAAATGAAAAAATGGCCAAGAAATAGGAGTTTTAGAGCCCAAAATTTGGTACCCCAAGTGGTGTCAAAAATGCGAATTAAATAGGTAATAATTATTTTAGTCGCTAGAGTCTTGACACCATTTTAGGGTTATACGGGTTCCTGCTAGTTTAACTAACCTACAACAACATTACAATCTTACTATATATAAAGCGAGACGATATATATATATATATATATTTATCTGTGCCATTTTACTGACACCACGGCATCAACTTTAACGCGAATTTCTGCAAAAACCGTCAAAGATATACAACTGAAACTTTTTTGACTGGGTCAAATGCTTTAATGGCCTCCAAATCAGCATGAAAAAATAAAAAATTGGCCAAGAAATAGGAGTTTTAGAGCCCAAAATTTGGTACCCCAAGTGGTGTCAAAAACGCGAATTAAATAGGTAATAATTGTAATAATTGTTTTAGTCTCCTGATTCTTGACACCATTTTAGGGTTAGACGGGTTCCTGCTAGTGAGTATAATGATTATTAAAATTAAAGTATTATATATATGCTTACTGCACTTAGTTTGTTTATTCGAATATCTGTTTAATTATTTAATACAAAAAGAGTTGAAATAATTGATCACAATTCTCGAAAATTGCAACGGAAAGTCACTACATAATTTTAAGTCCTTCCCCAGAAAGAGAAACACTCAGAGCTAAGTCCAAATATCAGACCAAGAGACCCGACACGTGTGGCCCCACTCATGACTATAGTAAGCAGTATTGATATAATTTTCTGGGACAGGCACCGTTAACTTTTAAAGTTTTAATGTATCCTGGATCATCGACAATTTAACCTCATTAATTCCGTTATCAGATTAAAAATTTGACCAAAACCCATAATCATGGGTAGAGTGGACCGCTGCCAGTGTCTCTCTTTCCCAAACAAAAGGAATTGATATTACTTTGATTGACCGTTCTCAAATGTAAAATGATACCGAGAATGAAATCGGTCGCTCGCTTTTCCCATTCATTCACGGCTTACGAATTGTAATAAGTTTCGATTGATTACATCAATCAGATGCTGTAAAAATCTCTTTGGGTTGCGTTCGGGTCGATACCTAGTATTTCGGGGTAAGGGTGGTAGTTATTAGTATTACTTATTGAATTAGCTGAAGTTTATTGAATCTTCATTGCCGAGTACAGCTGCCTTTGGGTAGTTCTTCTTAATCTATTACAATTGTAAATGAATGGGAAAAGCGAGCGACCGATTTCATTCTCGGTATCATTTTACATTTGAGAACGGTCAATCAAAGTAATATCAATTCCTTTTGTTTGGGAAAGAGAGACACTGACAGCGGTCCACTCTACCCATGATTATGGGTTTTGGTAAAATATCATCTCTTTTTGATTATAATGTCAGGGTACTTTATAAAGTCGAAATATAAACTGATATCTTCATTAATAAGGAGGAAGTTTCAACGATTTCGAAATTTTTCCTTTAAAAACATTTCCTTGTGTTTAGGGAAGCATATCGGTCGATCACTGACTGAATATGCCACTTAATACTCATTCAAGTTGGCATTAAATTCATATATAATGACATTAAACTGTCGTGGCAAAGCAGAATTTGTTGGAAATCACGAATGAGCTAAATTCTCACCTTTCGCACGTGCAAACTTTGAGCAGACGTTGCGTGAGCATCCAATATTGAATCGCCGTAAATTTTTGCATGTAATTGTTTTATATATAGCTTAATAAGCATGCAAAGTTTCAAAGTATTTCAAGAAGAACTGTAATCACAACGGCACTCTAAAGTTGACAGAAAATGACGAAAACAGCAATTTTTAGTGATTTTAGCGATTTTCTATCAATTTGGGCGTGTCCCAACGTGTGCAACTTTTCGATTTTCAACTTTAAAACTAGCCTAATGCACAATTTATACCTATAGGAAGCAGAACTGAGCTCCACAACCCAAGGCATGGCCCAACACCAGAGAATACTAAATCGCAAAATTGACGTTTTTATAAAATAATTCTTCAAAAAAGCACAAACTTCAATGACGAATATCTTTATGAAGGAGCAAGCTAGAAAAACTTTCCGGTAGATTTTCAGAATGCTTGAACAATTATCTAAGGTAAAAATTTCCTCAGATTTTGAATAAAATTACTCCTTAATGGTTTAAAATTAATTTTAAAAGTTATTACTTTGTCAAAAATCAAGTTTTAAAAATGGTTAACTTGATGACGTCATCAAGGGGTGTTTATGACGGCATATAATTTTTTTATACAATGTAAACTGAAGTATAAACAATTATTTGCAAAACCTGTGGTCGGAAATGGCTGTATCTTTTATACTTTTGAATTTATGGACAATTAAATACAGGCTACAATTGACTGGCAAAGCGTCTATCCCTGAATATATGTATATATATATGTAATTGTATGTATCACGACAATCTATCGTAAAACAGGGGTTCTAGAAAACCCACTTCCCGATGCTCCTGAAACCTGAAACTTTTTTTGCAGTCGATTTGGTCAACGTCTAGACGCCCTAAAAAATTTCAGATCTCTAACTCAATTTTAACATGGTTTTTAAGGCACCTGAATATGGCGATTTTGGGTTTTTTACCGAATTTCGTATAACAGTGCTGGCGAGTATTTTATGCAAATTTCTTAAAAATCTCAACATAACTATTTTTTATTCCTGTCATCTTTGACATCAAATTAGTATGTTTTGAATTAAAAATAAATCTGCTGAACGACTTCCGATGAGTCTTAATGCCTGAAAAACTCGTGCCGGAGGAGGCGGCCTTCGGCCGCCGCCTCCGGCCGGAGTGCACGCTTCGCGTGCACGAAAGAGGCTTCCGACGAGTACCAAAGGGGTTATAGTAGTAAAGGGGGTGTAATAGTAAAGGGGGTACAATAGTAAAGGGGGTACATAGTATACCCCCAATAAAGACACCGCTCGTGCTTGCCAGCACTGTGATTATTTTAGTCTCTTGAGTCTTGACACCGTTTAGGGTTATATTATACGGGTTCCTGCTAAATCGACATTTTTTTCATTTCTTTTGACGTTTTTTTATACCAGCAAATGATCTTAAAATCCATTTTTATACAATAGCATATAATATAAGCATCTCAATATTCAACACTCAATATATTACATTGCAGTGCCGACCGCAATACAGAACAGTTTCAAGTTTTACATTTTATTGTTACGAAAACGTACTATTTATTGTTACTAAAACAAACTATTTATTGTAACTAAAACCTTTTACAACGGTAACTTAATCTCAATACTCAACACTCAATATATTAGATTACAGCAGCCGACCGCAGTATAGAACCTTTTTAAGTCCAACAATTTATTATCAAATTTACTTACTTAGTTTTATCATTTGTTGCCACTATATACTATTACTATCGGGTTCAAAGGACAATAGACGGCGCGGAACTTATTG